TTAGTGTCTTGGTTGCGAATGACCCAATCGCGGGCAATCTGAAATCCCATTTTTATCCCTTCTGTTTTTGCTGAGGGAAAAGACTTGGATAACTCTTTCATGGACTGTTAAGAGGTTGCCTTGTCCAACAGTTATAGTGATCTTCTTCTGTAGGTTTAATCCAGCCCATTTCTACAGCAGGATGGATGTCTTAGAGGTTGCTTGGCTTCCATCTATGTTCCATGTAGGTAATATTTCCTCTGACCTTAGGCCCAAGGTCTGATTCAATTGTTAGAGTCTTTGCAGAAGCTCCATGAATTGATGAATGATTGAACGGACAGAGGATGTGGGAATGGTCAATTTTCCTTTAGATTTATTCTTCTCTAGCGCCCAAACTCTAAAACTAGCGACTTGATTGAACATCAAAATTGCATGCACATGCAGGTCAATATGTATTTGTTAGAGACTTTGAAGACTTTAATGTAGATGACACGTACAAAACATAAACTCGACACATACTTCCTTTATTATTGCCTTGACTATAATCTTTCCTCAAATCGCGGGCATAAACAGAAACATGTCACCATAAATACAGCACTTTATATGTTTCCTGACCTCATAATTTCTTCTAGAAATATCATCATTAGCTTACACCCTAATTTGACCGTCCACAATGAAGGCCGGTCTATAGGCCTTGAAGAGTAAATGCCAATATTTTTTTCCCCCCATGGATGCTACAATATCCCATACTATAATAATAATTTTTTTAATATCGAATTCGTGCATCATCTTTTTTTAGGATTTTAACCTTAAACCTTCATTTATAAATCTAACCTTTGCTCGTTTGATGATTGTCTTAGAGACTCTAAATTAGGATATTTCGGTCAATCGTTTTTCTAATTTATACCCTCACTTATTTTTATATAATAAGACAAATTTTAAACTGTTTTTAAATCCGAAAACGTTTGTATTATGTTTTTATTATTTGTGTTGATTTTCAAACTATCATTTTGATCCAAATTTTCAATCAATTTATCATAAATTAATTTTTATATTAATAAATATAGATGACTTATATCAAAAAAACAAAAATAATTTTAAATCATATACATAATTTTTGATGAATTGAGTATAAATTTTGATTAAAATAGATTAAAAATTAACTCAAATAACAATGATACATTAAAGAATTTTTTAAAAAAATTTAAGAACAGAATAAAAATTTAACATATTATATGAAAATACTAACCCTTATTCTTCTATTTACAATTAAATATCATTTTTTCCTAAAGAATTCATCTCATAACCAAAAAATCCAAACTCCAAGCCAGATTTTTGAAACAAACTTGTAAAGACTAATTAATATAAGCTAAATCATACAAAAGTATATATCTTGAATTTTTTCCGAAACTGAAATAGATTTTTTTCTTTTAACTTTTAAAAAATTTAATTTGACTATCATGATTTATTTTTTAATAAACTATTTTTAATATTGACTGCACGCATATAAAAATTATATATAATAATATTTAAAAATGATACCTATCTTACTAATTGAAATTCATTTTATAAAATTATTACGTAAGCTCTGCGTACGTTCAATACTGAAAACTGACCGATTCAACCTAACATTAACAAACCCATTTTGGCAGAAGGGAGTTTTGCATAAGTCGTTTGGTCAGTGTGGTTTTGAACGGTTGTTGAACTAGTATTTGGTAGTTAAACCGTTTAATGCCTTGTCTGAGAAGTATTAGTCGTGGCAGATTCAAATATGTCCACGTTTCACCTTATCCATTTTTTATTTGTTTTAAAAAAGGGATTTGGTATTCGATGGTCGGTGGATGATGGCCTGAGAGTTCTACGCCTGGCATTGGTCGGCCCGCCACCTATAGGCGCGGAGGGTCCAAAATCCAGACTCCATTTTGGTAAAACAACTTTGAATCGCAGTTCTTTTTTTTTTTTTTTTAAAGCCAGAAAAGCGTTTATGAACAACATGGCATGGTGTGAGAGGCTGAAGCTCAAGAGAGACCCACGTTTTCTTGACGGTCCACACGCTTTTAATCAGAATATTATCCTTTTACCTTTGGTGGATTCTTGGATGCCACAGACCGTCCACCAAATTTCTGTTTGTTTATTCCCACCAAAAAGAAAAATCTGTGTTCGTTAAGAGTAGAATATAAATATTTATTCCATCTAGTTTTGAAAAACAAATTAATTAATAACACTTAATTTAATATTGTTTTATTTTAAAGTATTTCTTAGTTATTTTTATTTCTTAAAAAAAAATTAAAATGAAGTGAAAACAAAAAAGATTAGTGATTAGTTTTTTTTTTAAAAAGGGGACTAATTAATTCAATTATTGATTGAAACTAGAGGGACTAATTTATAACTTACTCATGTTTGTTAAATAAAGTTTTACTTACTTTAAGGAAGAAAATACGTCGAACAGTGTGGCTAACATGTGTTAGCTTAAGAGCTAATTGGTGATTTACTTAATGAAATCATTAGTTTGAAACCGTAGCACCGACATAGGAATAAGTTATTTCTCCAATTTATGTCCCCAACGAAACCAGCGGTAGGGACACCCTACTTTTGTTTCTTTTCTTTTGCTTTTTTGTCACTTTTCCTTTATTTTATTAAGTTTGGAGTGATTCTTAAGATAAATAAATAAGTAACGGTTGGGTTGTGTTTCCTTCATTCTAGGAGGAATTTGCGTTTTTGATCATCAAAGAGAGATCATCGACAAGATATCTTTTTAAGGACATATTCGTATATTCACAACCCAACCTAATCTTTACCTTTTCTAAGTTAATTGACCAAAGATTAATGGAATCTACAATAGGATTGATAAATTGGTATGCTGACGAAAAATAACTCCTACCTAGTTGTTTTGAAAAAATCTCATTTTTTTTTATATAATTACAGATAATGAGGAATTATCTTAAACTAAATTCATTACTTTTTAACGAGTGCTGAGATAAAAAATAATAATAATAATCAAATTATGGCATGATATAATATATTTGATTGATTAAAAGAAAATGATATATATATATGTATATATATATATATATATATATATATATATATATATATATATATATATATATAGAAACTAAGAAGTTAGCAACGAATTTCAATGTCACTTCTAGATTTTTTTGTTCAATCAAAGCCAATATTTTTCAACATGCAACATCTGAGTATCATTTTTATCATCTCTTGATGATTACAAAGCAATTTTTTTTAGGATAAATAAAAAAGTTTGTAAAAAAAAAAACATCTTAATTTAAAATTTTAAATTATTAGATAATATCTCAAAATATAACTTATATTATTTTTAATATATTTTTAGACGTTCAGACTTGAAATTTACACATACTAATCATTATTTTGTGTTTAATTAAAAAAAGATGAAATTTTAATTTAGGATCATTTAGTTATCAAAATTATGATATCATATAAAAAAACGTTTTAAATAAAAAAATTAAATTATTAGATAAAATTTTAAAATATAATTTATATTATTACGTAATAGAACCATAACTTAATAAATATAAGTTGCATATGTATCACCCGGAATGCAACCACCCCAATTGCATCCGAATGCAACAACGAAAAAAAATGGGTTACAGAATGTACGAAAATCAAGATGAAGATCATGCTCCATGTAGGCCAATTGATTAGCAAATCTGTTTTCTTTTCAAAAAAACATGTTTTATTCGCACCTTTCAATCTCAATTTAACAATTCGCAAATTAATTACTCTCAAATAATTCCTATGGTTTTTCTACTTGCCCAAATTGATAAATTCAATCTTTCCTCTTGCTTTAATTTAAAATTTTACGACCTCCTTGTCTAACATCATCATTCAAAAGCTAGAATTACCAGTTCAAGCTCTGAGACTGAATAATATCTTTTAGGTGGAAGAAAAAAGGAATATGTGTTCTCTGGAAAGCAAGAACTTGGTAGAAGGTTCTTATTGCTTAAGAATATCACGAGAGAGAAAAAGAAAGGAAAAGACTTCCTTTTTGAAAAGGCGTTCGTCTATGTGAGTTGTAACTCCCCAATGATTGTTTTTTTTTTTTTTTGAAAAACATTCCCTTATTTTTCTATTTTTAATTATTTCCAAGAATTTTTTTTATTGGTTTATTTGTGTGCGATTTTATTGGGGTTGAGAAGAGAGGATCCTCAAATTAAGTAATATCTTGTTTCTAAACAAATTATAAATTATTCCTTTTAATTTTATAAAATAAATTAAATAGTTTTTTTAAAAAAACTAATTAAATAGTTTTTTTGACCTTGAATATGATTAATTTAATGTTACTTTGTTTTAAAAAAATATCTTCTTTTCTTATTGGTACTTTTATATATATTGTGTTACATTTCTTAAAATAAAAAAAATCAAAATAAACTAAAAAAAAAAAGGGAGAAATGATTAATTTAGAAATAGATTTCAAAGCATAGATACAAATTAATTAGTTTTTTAAATTAGGAAGACTATTCAACTCGTTTTCAAAAACTAGAGGGACTAATTTATAATTTACTCTCTTGTTTCTTGGTTGCATAGATTGTAGTGTGATTTGGACAGACACGTGTATTTTCTGAATATTATTGGATAATCCCTAAAAAGAGAAATCTGGTTTATTAATATTTAATACGAGTACTTTTCTTAGTCCAATTAATTAATTAATTAAAATAGGAAACACCCCATCACCTTCCTCATTCAGATCTTTGTCTTCCATAGCTAGCCTATAAATGAGGCCATCACCATTTGTGTTAAGCATAGCAGAAAAACGAGTTCAATATATCCATTAAAACCACACACAAATCAAACAAGCAAACTACTTTCTTTAAACATCATACAGAATCTCCTGTTCCGTTATTCCATTTACTAGCTTTTTTCAGTCTCACATTCTTCTTTATATATAGCCACTCTTCAGCTCTTTGTTTCTCACCAAAACCACAACCTTCTACTGTCTATATTGCTCTCTTTATTTCAAGGCCATACGTTCTTGTTCAACAATGGCTCCAAGCCTAACCAAATCTAGTTCTGGTGCTTCAGGGCTGGTAGATGGCAAAAACCAATCTTTGGTCTCTCTGGAGGGATCAAGCTTCGCTGCCAATGGCCACACCTTTCTTTCTGACGTCCCTGATAACATTACCCTCACTCCATCCCCTTATACTGAAAAAGGTGCCGGATCCTTTGTTGGGTTCGACACGAAAGAATCCAAAGACAGGCACGTTGTCCCTATTGGGAAACTGAAGAACATAAAGTTCATGAGCATATTCAGGTTCAAGGTCTGGTGGACAACCCAGTGGGTTGGCTCCAATGGTAGAGACCTTGAGAATGAGACTCAAATGGTCCTGCTTGATAAGTCTGATGATTCCGGCCGACCCTACGTTCTCCTTCTTCCTCTTCTCGAGGGGCCTTTCCGGGCTTCTATCCAGCCGGGCAACGACGACAACGTTGATGTCTGCGTGGAAAGTGGGTCCACAAAAGTTTGTGGTGCCGGATTCCGGAGTGTTGTTTATATCCATACAGGTGATGATCCATACAACTTGGTGAAGGAGGCCATGAAGGTGGTGAGGATGCATTTGGGTACTTTCAAGCTTTTGGAGGAGAAAACTCCTCCAGGTATTGTGGATAAGTTTGGTTGGTGTACATGGGATGCGTTCTACCTTACTGTGCACCCTCAAGGTATCTGGGAAGGTGTTCAAGGTCTTGTTGATGGTGGGTGTCCACCTGGTCTTGTGCTGATTGATGATGGCTGGCAATCCATCAGTCATGATGAAGATCCCATCACGAAAGAAGGCATGAATGCTGCTGTTGCTGGTGAGCAAATGCCATGCAGACTCTTGAAGTTCCAAGAGAACTACAAGTTCAGGGACTATGTGAGTCCTAAGAGTATGGCTGTTGGTGCCAAAGATAAAGGCATGGGGGCTTTTATTAAGGACCTGAAGGAAGAATTTAACACAGTTGACTATGTTTATGTCTGGCATGCACTGTGTGGATACTGGGGTGGGCTCAGGCCTAACGTCCCTGGTTTGCCACAGACAGAAGTTGTCAGGCCAAAATTGTCGCCGGGATTGGAGCTGACGATGCAGGATCTGGCCGTCGATAAGATTGTGAGCACTGGCGTGGGGCTCGTGCCGCCGGAGATTGTCGATCAGATGTACGAAGGACTTCATTCTCACTTGGAGAAAGCTGGAATTGACGGTGTCAAGGTCGACGTCATTCATGTAAGTATCTAATTATCTACTCTTCCTATCTTTTTTTTTAAAAAAATCTTTTTTTATTCATATACGTTTCAGTATTGTTTTTGTTAAACATTCATATTTTATAATACACGATTAAGTTTAATAGACTATTTCTTAAATAAAAAAATATTGTTAAAAAATACTAACTAAGAAATTATAATTATATTAATGTATAAATTTTTAAACGCCATAAAGAATCAAAAGAAATTATCATTTTAGAACAGAAAAAATATATATTTTTTAAAATTTTTAAATTAAAGTCAGTCAAGAAATTATTTGATATTGAAAATTAAATATTATCTCGTATATCGAAAATTATATTTTCATGGAAGTATCTAATTACTTACCTAGATACCAACTAGAGCTTTCCGGTGCTATTATTATCATCTAGCTTTTGTGTGCCACAGGAAGTTCTAGATAGGGGTGCTAAGAGTAACTTTCGTTCTTAATCGTGGACCAAATCTCATCTATGTTGTCTTTTTTCTACTTATTTTACTCGTGAAAAGGCTAGTGGCTTCGGCTACTTTGACTTCTATGGTCGGCACGTTACTGCAATGTTATGGTACCACGTTACTGTTTTCTTAAAAATACGTACGTAATTGTCTCCATATGCTGTCATCCGTAACGTCTTTTTCAGACTGATCTTCCTCTTCATCAAGAAACCAAAAAGTGGGGCCTTAATTAATTGATTTTTAATTAAAATTCTGCGATGCATGTATCGTGCAGTTGCTGGAAATGTTGTGTGAAAACTACGGTGGCAGGGTTGACCTGGCTAAAGCATATTTTAAGGCCTTGACAGAATCGGTGAGGAAGCATTTCAATGGAAATGGTGTCATAGCTAGCATGGAACACTGCAACGATTTCATGTTCCTTGGAACAGAGGCCATCTCTCTTGGTCGTGTCGGTATGTTACTTAAATTTTAGTCAATTTGGTACTCGAAAATGTATTTTCTTCATTTTTTTCTCTTTCTCAAATATGTGGGAAATGGTACCTGGTCTTTGCTGTTAGGTAGGTCTTTATCATATCTTCAAGAAATTAATGTTGATGGATAAAATTTGATTTTTTTTTCTTTATGGGCATTTTGATTTCTGGGAAATTGACAGTTGTAACTCTATATATCATCACCACGTGTACTCAACTTTCAATGACCAAGTCTTTGTACACATGCACTGCCTCCTGGGTCGAAACATGTCAAAACATTCTTGGACTTTAGGTGGTCCAAAGTTTGGTTCTTTGAGAAAGATAAATCTCATAGGCTAGAATGATATTTACTTGCACCCAAAACATTTTGACAGAATTAAAAAATGGACAAAATTTTCAAGAATTTGTCAATTGGACAAAATTTTCTGGAATTTGTCAACTTGATAAATCTCATAGGCTAGAATGATATTTACTTGTCCCAAATTTCGTATCTTTAATGGCCCCATAGCGTTTTTTATTGTTCTTTGATAGAGTAATGTATTGGGCTAAATATATCGTGGTTATTTTATCTATTTCGGAAATAATCTCTTGCGCAGTTTTCACAGAATTAAAAAGTGGATAAAATTTTCAATAACTTGTCAATTGGAATTTTAGAATATATACTTAAGTTTTCATGGATGTTTCAGTTTATTTTCTCTCTATTTTTTATAGAATGTCATCTAGATTGTTGGTTTATTTTCTTTGCATTTGAACTCGTCTTTTAACCATTTTCTTGCTGGTTCTTCCATTTCAAAATATCCATCAAGCTTCATTAAACAAACAAAAACCTCATATTATATTATATTCATATTGTGTCAACAGGTGATGATTTCTGGTGCACCGATCCATCTGGTGATCCCAATGGCACATTTTGGCTCCAAGGGTGTCACATGGTGCACTGTGCTTATAACAGTCTATGGATGGGCAACTTCATCCACCCAGATTGGGATATGTTCCAGTCTACTCATCCTTGTGCTGAATTCCATGCTGCTTCTAGGGCAATTTCCGGTGGTCCAATCTACGTTAGTGATTCTGTGGGGAAGCATGACTTCTCATTGCTCAGGAGACTAGTGTTGCCGGACGGTTCAATTCTCCGGTGCGACTACTATGCACTTCCAACTAGAGATTGCCTCTTCGAGGATCCTCTTCATGACGGCAAAACCATGCTCAAAATTTGGAACCTCAACAAGGTAAGCAATTTTCGGCCAGTAAACCAGTAACCAGTACTTACTAATCATGGACTAAATAATTCTTTTTCTGTGGATTGATTACTACAGTTTACTGGAGTTATTGGAGCATTTAACTGCCAAGGAGGAGGATGGTCCCGGGAGACAAGACGCAATACATGTGCATCCCAATTTTCTCACCTAGTGACTACTACGACCAACCCCAAAGACATTGAATGGAAGAGTGGCAAGAACCCTATTTCTGTCGAAGGAGTACAGATGTTTGCCATGTTCTTGTCCCAGTCCAAGAAGTTGGTTCTCTCCAAGCCAAACGAGAACTTTGAAATAGCACTAGAACCGTTCAATTTTGAGCTTGTTACAGTGTCCCCAGTTACTGTCTTGGCTGGAAAATCAGTCCACTTTGCTCCTATAGGATTAGTGAACATGCTCAACACTGGTGGTGCCATCCAGTCGTTGGCCTATGCCAATAGCTCAGTCCAAATTGGCATCAAGGGAAGTGGAGAATTGAGGGTTTTTGCTTCTGAGAAACCTAAAGCTTGCAAAATTGATGGAAGAGAGATTGCTTTTAAGTATGAAGAGTTCATGGTTATCACTCAAGTGCCATGGTCTGCTCCATCTGGCATATCTATAGTTAAATACTTATTTTAGAGTTTAACTTTTTTTTTTTTTTTATTATGTTGTGTGAAATTTGGGGAGAAATATCATTATTATTATTATTCTCCAAAAAAGATGTAACTAATTATAACCGCTCTTAAGACTAGTGGTAATTAGTATAATAAACATGTAACAGAAAACTAAGGTTGAGAAGCTTTTGCAACCTACGTACATGTGTTTCACCTTGATAGCATTTGCTATTCCTACTCTTTGAGTTAACTCTTGTTCCTGTTACTCTTCCAATTCCTGTTCCTTTTCTTCCCAATTATAAGTATAAATTAAAAGAAGCAGATAATATATAGTTTCTTAACTCTGTTAATCTCTTAAACCTAATCATATATTGCATTGTTTCTTTTTACTTTTAACCTTATATACATCTTTTCCATATTGACAAAAGTAACTTAAATTCCAATTTTACAGCTTATGCTCAACTTAGTACTAACTACTAACAGGATTTGTGAAAACAAATACAGATGAAGCAAATGAAACTTTAGATTTTGTGGGTAGAAAAATAAAATAAAATAAAAAATCATATCTACCACATAATTATCATCACTTTACTAAAATCGTTATTAAATTATAATGTTTTTTAATTTCCTCCAATATCCTAATACTAGATTTAATATAAATAGAATATTTTAATAGCATGATTTGATAATATTATGTTTTTTCTTTATATATATTAGCAGGAATGACTTATAATATTTGGTGGTAGAACAAATACAGTTAAAATCAAAAAAATTCTAACGCTAAAGATGCTGAGTCTAAAATGGGATGATAAGCAGGTAAATTCTAAACATGCTACCAACACAAATGGGATGATCGGTAGGTACATAATATTTCATTGCAAATGTGTCAAATGGGATGATAGGTAGGTATAGGTAAATAATATTTCATTAAAAATGTGTGAAAATTAGTATTCAAATATGATAAACCTTGTTTTGCTTCACAGTTGGGTTTAAATATTGCAAATATTGAGAAATTTTGCTTAATTTGTTCAATATCATTTTTCAGCGCAACCAAATATATAGAAGTATACTAAAATGAAGATGTGATCTTTAAGAACAGAGATAAAAAAATTTGTTAACCATTGATCATCTCTTTTAATTTAACTGTTCATGCAACATGGTTTATAACTCTTTATGATTTCTCTTTTTTAATTGCAATTCCTTCGTTACTATCTTTCTATTTTTAAATTTTACTTTACTGATTTTTATCTTATTTACTTTATTGAGGTTTTGGATTATTTTAAAGTGATTTTATATTTTTGAAATTACTTGTTGCATAATAAATGTGCCTACCAAGACAAATTAATTATATTTTTTTTTCCATTTTCTTTTTTCAGAGAGGTAAACAGATTGATCTATTGATTAAAAAGGTCATGATTAATTTTAGAACTAATTATTTACAAAATATTTGTAATTAATCTACATATTCAATAAAAGAAAAAAAAATTAATAATTTGCACTCTCAATAATCTGAAAATCCGTAAGTTGTTTTTTAATGGCTACTATACCTTACCTAATAGTGACGCCTGAACAATAAACGAAAAGTACTTGAGAGAACATCAAAACTAGCCAACCAATACTGATTACTACTATTAACATGATGTTTTAGGTGAAATTAAAGGCAATCAGGAATCTTTATTCAAAACATGAAATTTATTGCTGTAAATCAAAGACAAGTTTCTAACTTCTTAAACCAGACATAGCAAACCATAAACAAACAGCAAACATTAAGTAGTTCGTTCAACAACTTAAAAGGATCCCATTCAACAACAGCCGGTTACCACCAGCAGAACTACAGACATTGGACCACATTAGATCATCACGCAGCTTACAAACCACCACGGAGGCGAAGCACAAGGTGTAGGGTGGACTCCTTCTGGATATTGTAATCTGCCAGGGTCCTTCCATCTTCAAGCTGCTTCCCAGCAAAGATCAATCTCTGCTGGTCTGGTGGAATCCCCTCCTTGTCCTGGATTTTAGCCTTCACATTATCAATGGTGTCCGAACTCTCCACCTCCAGGGTTATGGTTTTTCCAGTCAGGGTCTTAACGAAGATTTGCATTCCTCCACGAAGGCGCAGCACCAAGTGAAGAGTGGATTCCTTCTGAATGTTGTAGTCAGCTAAGGTCCTTCCATCTTCAAGCTGTTTTCCAGCAAAAATCAATCTTTGCTGGTCTGGTGGGATCCCCTCCTTATCCTGGATTTTAGCCTTGACATTGTCAATGGTGTCTGAGCTCTCAACTTCAAGGGTTATAGTCTTTCCGGTGAGAGTCTTAACAAAGATCTGCATGCCGCCACGGAGGCGAAGCACCAAGTGAAGGGTGGACTCTTTCTGAATGTTGTAATCAGCAAGAGTACGCCCATCCTCAAGTTGCTTCCCAGCAAAGATGAGCCTCTGTTGGTCTGGAGGAATGCCTTCCTTATCTTGGATTTTTGCCTTGACATTATCAATGGTGTCTGAGCTCTCCACCTCCAAGGTAATGGTCTTCCCTGTCAAAGTCTTTACAAAGATCTGCATTCCACCACGGAGGCGGAGCACCAAGTGAAGGGTGGACTCCTTCTGAATATTGTAGTCAGCTAGAGTACGTCCATCCTCAAGCTGCTTACCAGCAAAGATAAGCCTCTGTTGGTCTGGAGGGATGCCCTCCTTATCCTGGATTTTGGCCTTGACATTATCAATAGTGTCAGAGCTCTCCACCTCCAGGGTGATGGTCTTCCCAGTCAAAGTCTTAACAAAGATCTGCATACCACCTCTAAGTCGGAGCACCAAGTGGAGGGTGGACTCCTTCTGAATGTTGTAGTCAGCCAGGGTACGTCCATCCTCAAGCTGCTTACCAGCAAAGATAAGCCTCTGTTGGTCTGGAGGGATGCCTTCCTTATCCTGGATTTTGGCCTTAACATTATCAATGGTGTCAGAGCTCTCCACCTCCAGGGTGATGGTCTTCCCAGTCAAAGTCTTAACAAAGATCTGCATACCACCTCTAAGTCGAAGCACCAAGTGGAGGGTGGACTCCTTCTGGATGTTGTAGTCAGCAAGGGTGCGTCCATCCTCAAGTTGTTTCCCAGCAAAGATCAACCTTTGCTGATCTGGGGGGATCCCTTCCTTATCCTGGATCTTAGCTTTGACATTGTCGATTGTGTCGGAGCTTTCCACCTCAAGGGTGATTGTCTTGCCGGTGAGTGTTTTCACAAAAATTTGCATCTAATCACATAACAAACACAAAGACAAGATCAGTCAACCTTAACAACAAGAAAAAAGCCTATTCTTTACAGCCCACAAATTCAGCACGCATCAATCGGTCATGATTTTATCACAAAAATAAAAATACCCACCAAGCGGATTCTCAAAATTTTACAGATAGATTTCCTAAAATCAATCAGAAAAACAAGTCAATCTAGCAATAAACCACATGTGTCAACCAACCAATCAATCCTAAAATCAGTACCATCAACATCCTCCACCCAAGAAATACACAGAGACTTAAACCTTAATTTTTGAGGACTCCCAACAAAATAAATTCCCGACCCTCAAAGATCATAACTTTTTAAAGTTCTACAAGAAATCAATAAAAACCAAAAACCTAATCATTACGACAGATGGTACAAAACTATGTTTGTAAAAAAACAGAAGGAAAAAAAAACACCCATAACTGAAGAATCATACGAAATCTAATCAGTTATGTTTTGTTCATGATGATTAAAATTATTTCAATAAAAAAAGCAGAAAAGCCTAAAGTGTCATAATCCATACGCTTAACAAAAACAAAGACGGATACTTTAATCATAGTAAATTTACAGATCACATAAAAGATTAAGCAAGCAATTAAGCATTACAGAAAGTATTAAAATGAATTAAGGATTACAAAAAGGAACGATCAATACCTTGAGAAATTTAAGCGAGAGAGAAAGAGAGTTTTAGGTATTGTTTTGATCGAAATTGTGAGGAGACAGGCGCTCGAGCTTCTCATTTTATACTGGAATTTTAGAATGAATTAACTAGAATGCCCTCGAGATAAAGAAAGAGCGAGTCACGCTTTTCTGGATTGAGTATTTTACACGCGCTCATCTCATTGGGCCGACACCATATTTCCTTTTTTGTTTTTTTTTTTTAATACTTACTTTAAGTTTTAGTTGTTGAAAAAACCAATTAATTTTTAGAATAACTAAAAATAGAAAAAACAAAATCTAAATGAGCATTTGATTAACGCTCCCACCATAAGAAGTAAATTATAAATTAATCCCTTTATTTTTTAGAAAAAAATTAATTAATTTTTCTTGTCTTAAAAATTAATTATTTAAACACTTAACTAGTATTGACTATTTTTAATTTAATATTAATTTATTAAAATGTCATATTTGTTATCAATTTTTTGATATTTTTTTACTTATTTTTTTATTTCTTAAAATAAAAAATTAAAATAAATTGAAAATAATAATAATTAATTTACAAAAAATTTAAAAATATCAAAAATTAAATAGTTAGCTTTGAAACAACAAAAATTGATTAATTCGTTTCTTGAAACTAGAATGACTAATTTATAATTTACTCCTACTATAATTGCTAATCATCGTTAGTACTATATAAAATAAAATAAAATTGATAGTCATTGATAATAAATTGCTACTCAATTGGATTAATGATACAAATTGGAAATTAAATATGGTGATTATATATCCTTCTTAATTAACACAAATAAATTATTTAATTTGGAAAGCTAGTGATAAAGGATAAAGCAATCCCTCAGATCTTAGTTTTATTATTATTATTATTATTAAGACTCGTAATCTCTTATTCTAATTCTTAAAATATTTTTTTCCTTTGAGGTCAATTACCTCTCAGAATTACAGTTGTCAAATATTAATACTATATATATAGTTTCCCCCACGAGAATATCAACTTTTATTTAAAGGAAGGAAAGAGATTTATTAAAAAATAAAATTAAAAGGAGTAAATAATAAATTAGTCCTTCTAGTTTTGAGATTAATCAATACCATTTCTTTCAAAAACTAAATATTAATTCTTTCAATTTAAGGTTCTTTTTTAATTTGTTTTAGTTTTAAAAAAATAGAAAAAATATTATAAAAAGATTGATGGGAAAAAATTTAATAAAGTAATATTAATTTAAATATAATTAACACTGATAAAAGGGACTCAATAATTAATTTTCAGAATAAAAAACTAATTAATTTATTATCAAAACTAGAAGAACTAATATAATTTACTCATATTAAAAGACAACTATCTTAAAAATAAAAAATAAAAAAAATCTGACATTATTTGCGACATGAGAAAGGATAAAGGATAAGTGGCCATTTTCTTGGCGATTACATTACAAAATGGCATCGATGATGAGCATCCTTTTCTTTCTTTATTTATATATTTTTTAAAAAGCGAGCATCCTTATTGCTGTTCAAAAAGAAGATAAAAAAAGCATCCTTATCCTTATGAGTAAATTGTGCTAGTGCTGATAACCACATTCCACATGATGGTTATATTGAAACAAAGACCAATGGAGGATGATTCTTAATTTATTAAATTGTAGAGACCGCGCAACTGTGCAAGAAACTGAAAATGGTTCTCTTTTATGAAGAGAAAGAGCGATCGGGAGGAAGAAAACAAGTGCAGTAAAAGATACTGTTAGTTGAAAAATGGCATAAGGGTTTTGGTGTACTAATATATATATATATCACAATATTATGGGATATCTAGGCATAGTTTTAAATAATTCTCGTTATGTTATATAAAATGACTCGTTATAACAGTTTTGAAGCATCCCATTATCATTATTTTAGTATTACGACAAGTTGTGATCCATGATAATGATCATAATCGTTTTTTCATCCATCCGTTATTTAAAACTATTTCTAAACATAATAACGGGAAGATACTTTGCCCGGCATGTGGCTCAAATATATTATAACGAGTCAATTAATGTCACTATAACAAAAATCGGATATAGAGACGGAATTCTTGAGGCGATTTATAATGTTTTAGTACTTACACTAGGGTTACTTTTATGAAACAAATTTGAGGTGGTTGACAAAACCGTCCCAAAGTTTAATTAGAGACGCGAGTTTTATTCATGAAATAATTTTTTATTTTTATTTTTTTTAGTTTGGTTCGAAACGGGAAAAACTCTTTCATCTTCCCTCTCCCGAGGGTTTTAGAGTTTCTCCGTCTAAATTGCTTATTCTCCTCGATTTGCTGCGTCCTTCTTCTCTTTGGCTTCTTCATTTTTAATTTTGTTTGCTTCGAAAGGGGGAAGATCTTATTGAGAGCTTTCCTTCTTCAGCTGAGGTTCTTCTTCTCTACTTCTTCCACCTTCGATCTGCTTCTTCTTTCTTTACTTTTTTTTTTTTTTGGTTCTAAAAGGGAAAAGAACACCACATTATCCTTCTCCTCTTAGGGTTTTTCTTCTCCTCTCCTTCGTCCTTGTCTCTTTCTTGTTAGAAACGAAATTATAGCTATCCTCTAAATCAATTGGGTACTCATTGTAGATTTTATCATTGATCTTCTAATGGTAAGTATGCTAAGTTTAATGTTGTGGCCAATCAATTAGATTACCAGCTCTTTTCTTTTCTAATTCCCTTGAAATTTTCAATCTAATATGCTACTTGTCTTGTTCTTATTTTGTGACTTAAAGCTAGAGCACCGGGGAAGGAAGAGCGATTGTCTTCAAAAGAATTCCCAAATTAGAGAAGGATCGTTACTTTAAATCCTAAAAGCATCTCTGTATCCCAAGGCAATCCTAAGGTGATGTGACTTTCCTATTAAGAAATTTGCTTGAAAGAAGAAGTTTTCAATTCTTATCTGAATTGTTGTGTCATGCTTAAGTGCTTAAGTTACTGCCTAGATGTTATACTTCAAAGACATTGTCAATGATCTTGTTGTGTCATGAAATTGCTTGTCCTAATTAGCAATTTCAATTAGTATGTTGCTTGTCCTAATTAGTAAGTTCTGCCTAGATTTTGCAATTTTGTAATGAGAGCCCGATGTAAAATTGCTTGTCCTGAAGATTGGGGGATTATGAATAGAGCATGTGTAAATTTTTCTGCTGAACCAAGAGCAAAAGATTCTATAGGTTCAAAAATTCACTTAAACATCCACATGGATTCCTGATAACCTCATTGTTAATAAGACCATCAGTGCAAGTAGTGCAAAAACTTGTCAAAGGTAAATGTTAATTGCTTGTCTATCCCGTTCAGTGTAGGTGCAGAGCTGTTGAAGTTTAATCACGCCATAGCTCATACCTAACCAACGCATCATATTTGACTGGAGGTGAATACCATTGGAAGTGTTTTTGAACCTGCAATTAAGAAAATATATAAAAGAAATTCATCTCAAAGGTTGCATAAATTTCGTCGTCAGATGCTTCTGCAGGCTCTGACTTTAGGAAAATCACTCTGACACAGAATTAGATGATCAATGACAGGGTGAGCAAAACAGTTATGTCCATAATCGACATCTTTGCTAAAAAAAAAAAAAAAAATTCAAGTCAAGAATTTCATTCCAGGGCAAATCGTAGTAGCTGGACAAAATAAATATAGAAAACCGATGAACTCCTAATTACATAAAAAACTATTAGAAAAAATTGAGCAGAAGGATAAAACTGATAACAGCTAGGCTAGTAGAAAAAATTGAGCAGAAGAACAAAACTGATAACAGCTAGCCTATATGACAAGTGACTAGTAACCCTACTTCCCTTAGTCATTGAATCTGCCAAACAAACAAACACCAATATTAGCTTGAATCTCGAGAGGACAGATATATATAGGCATGCATATGGTCTTCAATTCGGGCCCCAATACTCCAACCCTATCCCCATATCAAAAGGATTTGTTTAAATTTCAAATCAAAAATGGAAACCGACTCGTCCACCAAATATTAAAAGCGTTGTTTTGGTAGACAGTACGTATACGGGGTAACGTAATAATCCTGTTACCTCTTTGCTTCAATTTTTTCTTGTCTTTGATCATCCACCATGAATTCCATCCTTCCCTTGCCTCTACCACCATTTTTTTTGCTAGACCAAACAACCTCAACGTGGGTTTCATTGCCTTCCCACCTACTGCTATTCCAGTTCCAATTACCGTTCCAGTTCCTGTTCCTCTTCTTCGTAAGTATAAACTTTATTTTTCTCTTAGACATAGTTTTTTACTTAATCTTATGTACGTATACATGTTAAATATTGACAAAAGAAAGTTGCCATTAGATTCCAATTTTACAGTTTATCCACCACTTAGTACGGTCGTAAGGGCAAAATTTCCTGGAACAAACCACTTCCAGGAATTGTGAAAATGAATACAGAGACAAGTTACAAATATGACTCTTCCAAAGCTTATATTGCTGTTGTGTGCATAGATGAAATTGGGAAATGGCTGTTTGGGTTGTTTTCGAGACACAAATCCGATTCTGGCTTTGAATGTTATTGCAGATTGTGAAACAAGGGTATTACTAAAATCATTATTAAATTATATTATTTTTTAATTTCCTCCAATATCCTAATACTAGATTTAATATAAATAGAATATTTTAATAGCATGATTTGATAATATGATTTTTTTTCCCCTATAAATACAGTTAACATCAAACAAATTCTAATGCTAAAGATGCTGGGTCTAAAATGGGATGATAGGCAGGTAAATTATAAACATGCTAACAACACAAATGGGATGATAGGTAGGTAGGTAAATAATATTTCATTGCAAATGTGTGAAAATTATGTATTCAAATATGATATACCTTCTTTTGCTTCAAAGTTGGATTTAAATTATTACTAATATTGAGAAATTTTGTTTTGTTCAATATCATTTTTCAGTGCAACCAAATATAAGTATTAAAAAAAAAAGAATTGTCATTTTATGTTAAAATTCATTTTCTTTTGATGGTTATATTTTTAATAAATTAAATTAGTTTTGTTTTTCTCGCGTGAAGGTATTTTTACAATTTTGAATGAAAATATCCTACAGAAGAATGTATTAAACAATAATAATATATTCATGAATAAATTATAAATAATTAGTGTTGTACAGGCAACCCGAAGATTTAGCGTAAATTATAAGGAATAATTGAACTAATTATTCACACAGAGAACAAAAGGCAAACGACCGTAGGATGTTTACTTTCACGCTTTGCTACTAAACGACACAATCTACTGTCCGTACAGTAATATTTCATTTCACTCTTTTTATTTTTCAAAAAAGTTATTTTGGTTTTGAAGTAATATTTTTTAGAATTAGGTCCTTCATTTAAGTTTTTTTAAAAGCATTTTTATCCTACTTTATGATGTTTGTGCAATCAATAGTAACAATTTTTTTTTTACTCTTATCCATCTCAATGATCACTAGAAATTTTTTATGGGTATTTATTAAAGATATCCACTTGATATTCAGTCCATTGTCTTTCTTAATTGTATGCAAATATCATTATTTCTATGCATTAGCCCAAAATACTCTATGCTTTTAAAAAAATTATTTCCTTTGCTTTTTCACACTTTCGAAGAAAATTATCAATTCTTATGCTATCTATGTATTTTTTATTTATACTTTCTTAAAATACTTTTTATTAAAATTATTAGTTATCAAAACTAGAAGTTATGTGCTTACAGAAATTCTATGATTGCCCTGTTGTTGTCTTTTGCCTTGTTTAGCATTCCTAAAACTCCTATCTCATTGACAATTGTAGTAAACGATAAAAAGAAATTCTGCCATACATTTCATCATCTGCCATTCGTAACAGCACAGAAAATCAAATTGATATAAAGATCTAAGAATTAGCTATTGACAAGAAGACTTTTCCAATTGCTTGCAAGAGCACATCTAGGCCTGCATGAAGATAGAATTTAAAACATTATTAATTTTACTTGGATACCACCAAAGTTGTGCAGCCAACAAAAGAAATATAAGGGAAGAAAGGAAATTGTAAGAAGGAAAAGAAAAAAAAACTTACCGGCAAAGGACAAGATTTCCATTCATTTTCTCTGATAAACACATTTGAGCCCATGTTTTCTTTAACTTCTTTTGCAAAATGTGATGGCATATTGGTCAGAATCAATTCCTTCAATGTGGCCAGCTGCTTTAATCCCTCTAGTTTTTCTAGTCTTTTGCAGGCTCTGATCTCTACTTCTCTGAGGCAAGGCATGGCTCCTTCCATTACAGTCCACTTCTCTAGCTCCACCAGCTTCCAGAGTTTCAAGACCTGGAGTTGAGGAAACCCTCCTTGGTAACATGTCATTTCTTCCCCCAAGTAGGAATCACCAAAAAGCCTTAGGATGTTGAGGTAAGGCAGCTGCCCTAGCGTCCGCATTGGGTCTTTTCTAAGTTGTGACATTGATAAAGTGAGGATTTTAAGGTTTGGAGGAAGTAGTTTAATGTTAATTGGTCTTGGTAACACTCCAAGCAAATACAGGTCCAGGAGTTTTTGATGGTCTGACAAAGCACTCAATTTGATCGAACCGCGTTCGCCAGTCTTTTTAATTGATCTTAACCGTAGAGATTGAAGGGTGGTGAGTTGTGAAATCCAATTATTCATTGGCTCTGGTAATGTCAAACTGAATCTCAATGCCAACTTTGTAAGACATGTTATCTTGAATAATGAACTTAAAATGGGGCTTTGTTCACTTATTGATAGCCCCCTTAAGGTCTGGAGCTTGGCTAAAGGCTCTGAGTCGGATGATAGTTGAATGGAAATATCATCAAAATGAATCCAATCCATATAGAGATGTCGCAAGTTTTTTGCCATCCAAATGGAACTAGGCAAAGAGGTTATGCTAGTGTGCTTCACATCTAAAGTTTCCAAGCACGGCAGATCACAAATTGACTCTGGTAGTGAATCTAAAGCTGTCGATCTTAATCCTACATGCTTTAAGTTGAGGAGTTTTTGAAAGGATTTAGGCAGCCTAGGTTTGTATACACCTTCAAGGTCAAGTACAGTCAGCAATCCTAGGTCTCTTCTTAGGATTAACTTGTTCAGAAACTTACCTATTTCTCCTGCAGGTATACCTCCTTTGTGTGCACCGAAGGAAATGTAAGAACGAAGACTTCGAATGTACCAATCTGAAGAAGGGTAGTTCTTGATGCTCAAGTATGATGCAAGTCGCCTGACCGGGAATCGTGGTTGATCTCCAGATGAATGATGTGACTTGCAATGGATGTAAAACAGTCCTATTTCTGCTGCTGCTTTTGGAGAGAAAACATCATATATGGAACCTGGTATTCTACATGTTTTGGGGATACCATCAGATCTCCATCTTGCAACTTCAATCATGTTCCTATTAATTAGTTCTTCCAAATACACTTCTGCCACTTCTTCAGGGCCTAATTCCCCTGAACATGAGGGTGTCACCAGTCCCTCCGCAATCCATAGCTGAAACAATCTCCTCACAGGAACCTCAAAACCTTTCGGAAAGAGTCCCATGTAAAGAAAACAAGGCTTCATCCAAGAAGGAAGTTCTTGATAGCTTAAAGCAAGTACATTTCCATCAAGATTATTTGCATCGTCAATCACTCGTGACCATTCACTATGGCTTGATTCTACCATAGATAGCATACCTCCCATCAAGCTGATTGCCAAAGGTAAACCATCACATAATTTCAAGAGTTGCTCCTTGAATGGGATCAAATCCAAATTGTTACTTAAACTATCTTCTGCTGAACATACCTTCTTTAAGAACAACTTCCAGCTCTCCTCATTGTTCAATCTGCCCATCTGTAGAGTGGAAGAGGCAAATGCTACTACATCCGTATTGCTTGTAGTAACAACTATCCTGCTACCATTGTCTGACTTTGGAATCACATTTTGTAACCTTTCCAACACTTCAGGTGCCCCAACATCATCAACAACAACAAGATACCTGTCCTTCCTCAAAACTTCACTCAATTTCGACACCAATTCTTGCTCAAAAAATGATTCTTCTGCTTCAGCTAAAATCTCATCAACTTGTTTTAACATTTCAAACACAACATCTCTAACTCTGAAAACATAATCAGAAACATCAACCCAGATACAGTTCTTAAAATGCCGTTTAATCCTTACCTTTTCATACACAATCCTCATAAGAGTTGTCTTGCCTGAACCTCCCTCTCCCACCACAGAAATGAGTTCAGTGGCAGCCTGATTGTTTTCATTCGAGCAAATTAGTCTCTCTTCTAACTCCTTCGCTTGATCACCAAGACCAACAACATCTCTACCCACATCCAAATAAGAAAAACCTGTTCTTCTTGTTCCCTGATGCCTTGTATTCTCCATAGTTCCATCTTGTAAGCTTGACCCAGAAATGTTGTTATTGCAGCCAGCATGTCCTATCAGTGACATGAATTTCTTGATTTGAACAGTAAACAGAGATTGGATCCAGAAGCCTTTAAAGGGTTGACACACAATCCCACCGTAACCCCTCAGTTTCTGCCTTTGCAAGAGTAGTGTTCTTGCAAGAAAGATATCAGTGGCATCTTCTGCAGAGTAAAATGCACGTAGAAGCCTTCCTGTCTGGTCTGCATTTCTTGAAACTTTTAAAGATTGATGAAGTAAACGGAGCTTGTTGGTTGCCTCCTGTACCTGATTTCTCAAGTTGGGATTGGCAATAGTTGCTTCTCCATCGAGAAGAAGAACTTGGAATTTCTGGATCAAAAGCAAACTTACCCATTCAGCATCCATGGATTGATTGCTAGAGGAGAGAGTGAAACAAGTTAGTAATATAAAAATCAGAAAGGATATGGGTTTTTTTGGATATGACGAAAGTAAATATTTTTCAACTCTCTCTCTCTCTCTCTCTCTCTCTCTGTCTTTAATTTCCTTTTCTTTTTGTGGGTCCAAATGCAAATGCTGTATTAAATTGAAGCAGTGATGCAGCTTGAAAGTTAATATTTTGCAGATATTAAACCAAAGGGACCACATAGTCACTTTAATGGAGGTTTGATTTTTTCTTTTAGTCACTGTAACAACTCCTCGAATCTCCTTTTTCATGTCCTTGGCATCTGTAACGGTAAGACCAATAGGGTAAATTTAGCTCACCGTCTTTTTGACCAAGTTCTTGTAGATTTCTTCAGGAACTTCATCGTGTCTCCCTGGGGTCATTATCTTGTTTCAAAACTTGACTATCTTGTGTTTCTGCCTCCCATATGCTTAAGCAGGATCTCTTTACTTTGATTTAAACTTGAGATGCAGTGTTAGCCAAATTGGAGAAGAAACAAGGCTATCTGAGACAGCATCTTTCAAGTGAGTATTAATGCCCCCTATTTTGTTCATTTGATAAGTAGGCTGTAGATTCTTAAAAGAATTTTTTTTTTTGCAAAGACTAATTGTTTATTTACCACTGTTTTGTAGCTGTAGTTAAACCTCCTAGAGATTAGCTGTTCAAAGGGCGTAGTTAGAGTATCTCTACTTTGTCAAATGGTTCTGTTTTTAGGAGGAAATTGATGTTATGATGATGAGGAGGAGAAAGGTATTCCAGGTAATTCCTTCAAGTTTAAGGGAACTGTGGAGCAAATGGCAGCTAAGAGTAGTAGTTTTGATTAGTCTCATCCTTCAAATAGTGCTAATAATTTTTGGCAATCGTAGAAAATACAGTTCCAGAACTTGGATTAGGTTTGTTGTTTGGTCTGCCTATCTAGCAGCAGATTCTGTTGCTACGATTGCCCTTGGTGTAATCTCAAGTAACTTGGGAGAAATCTATGATGATGATGGTTCTATTGACCCAAACGTTGAACTGAATGCCTTTTGGACACCATTTCTGCTGCTACACTTGGGTGGCCCTGACACCATTACTGCATATTCCTTAGAAGACAACGAGTTATGGTCTAGGCACTTCCTTGGACTAGTTACGCAAGTAATTGGCACCATTTACATTATTCTGATGGCCTGGACTGGCTCTGATCTTTCTGTACTAATCATTCTGATGACTATTGCTGGCCTTATCAAGTTCGGAGAGAGGACATGGGTCCTCCGATCTGCTAGCAATGACCAACTTAGAGACTCTATGAGGATTACTCGTTCTGATCAAGGTCCGGGAAACTCCAATCTAGTAGAGGAATACAAGTTGCGGGATGCTGAAGGATACAATGTGATACCCAGCAGAGTGATTGAGGTTCAGCTTCCTGTAGATTCTGTTGTTTTAGAAGGCAATTCCATCTCCAATGACCATGAACTATTGCTTCTAGCATATGGTTTGTTTCATACATTTAAGGCTCTTTTTGCGGATGTCATACTTGGATCTCGAGATCTCGATACCAGCCAAACTATTTTCAGGAGCATTTCGTACGAGAATGCTTACAAACTAATTGAAATGGAATGTGGTTTCATGTATGATTTGCTTTACACCAAGGCACTGTTGGTCTACAATCCATGGGGACTTAGCTTGCGCTTTATCAGCTTCTTTCTTACATGCGTTGTTCTGGTGCTGTTCTCTTTAACATCGGAGAAGCAAACTTACTCAAAGGTTGATCTTTCTATAACTTTTGTTCTACTGGCTATTGCAATTTTTCTAGAGATATACGCAATGCTAGTCCTGCTTTCCTCAGATTGGACTATTGTTTGGCTGAATACTCATATTAAAGCACCTGCCTTGAATGCGATCACTTCTCTCTCTCTCTTGCAAAATCCCAGGTGGTCGAATTCCATGGCCCAATACAGCCTGCTAAACTTCACCCTTGAAGAAAAACCTGTGGGCTGTGTTGGAATCTTAAGGCAGTTTAGCATTGTCGAACAGCTAGAGCAGCAAAGATATATAACTTCTGCAGAAGTCATTGGCAGTTTAAAAGAATGGATCTTTAATCATTTCAAGAAGAAGCTTAATGAAATTCACCAGGAAGCAGAATTGGGTACATATAATCTTAGAGCCTTGACCACTGCAAGAGGAAACCTTGTACTGCAAAAGTATGGTCATAGCGCATTGAGTTGGAGCACTGAGGTAGAGTTCGACCAAAGCATTCTCATATGGCATTTAGCTACAGAAATATGCTGCAACGTAGAAGATTCTACAGCTGATAGCATTCAATCAAAGCATGACATAAGCAAACTCTTGTCTCAGTATATGCTTTATCTTCTAGTCATGAATCCTTCAATGTTACCCATAGGAATCGGTCAGTTTGTCTTTGAAGACACTTGTGCAGAAGCTCAGAAATTTTTTAGCACAGAAGGTAAACTTAATGTTCATAAGAATTTGCTTCTGCAATATAAAACTGGAGTCCAACTGCCTGGAGAGAGGTACAGATCAAAGAAATCTGTTCTATCTGATTCATGCAGACTTGCACAACAATTGGAAGATGTTTCAAATAAGGAAGAGGTGATTTTCTTCTTATACTTTAATCTTAGCTATTTATTTTTACAAATCATTAAAGACTTAACCATTATGCTATGATATGATATGACAGAAATGGAGCCTTATTGCTGATGTTTGGGTGGAAATGGTAGCTTATGTTGCATATCAGAGTAATGGAAGACAGCATGCTGAACAACTAAGAGAAGGGGAGAGTTCCTAACCCATGTATGGCTTCTAATGGCACATTTTGGGTTAACAGAACATTTCCAGATACCGCAACGCCGTGCAGTAGCCAGACTGAGTCTCAGATAGTCTTCCAAGTTAACAGAATCACTCTCTCAGCCTCTCTATCACTTGCTGATCTCTTCCATCCATCAGTTATAGACATATGCGTAAAGTTATCCAAATTGTCTCGGATCGTTAGTTTAATGTTAGAGTATATAAGCATGTGAGTCTCCAGGGCTTGAAGAATATCTGCTTCTTGTTATAACTACAGTTCAGCTGTGTTTATTCGTCCTCTTCAAAACCCTCAGCATTAGGGCTGTACTCAAAGAGATTGCCACTTGTTTCTTTTGTATTGACTCTTAGCATCCCAGTTTGTGTTGTGTATTTGATTTGGTTGGAGTAAAATTTTCTTATCAATCCAAAAACCAAAAAGATAAATGAAATTTAGAGGCTAGAATCCATTGAATCCTGCAAATTTCTAAGAACTACATGAGAAGTATGGATCATCTGACTGGCACAAGCTATAAAACTGGGTCAATGTCGCAAGTATCAGAACATGTGGTTAAATCTTATTAGGTCCAAGTCCATGGGAAAAAAGGCAATGAGAACCCTCTAAATTAGACGGTGATTTGCTCAGAAACCTCAATCACCAACTTGTAAAGCGTTAGGTGGTCTTTGCATGTGGCTGGTAAAATCAAGAGACATTTGCTGGCCTACTAACATCATAACTGTGATATAATTTCCATTTTTTTTCTCTCTGTTTCCTTTTAAAGGCACAGTATTTTTCAACAAACTGTCCCTCTCTCTCATTGTGATTCGATCAAGATGAATGAATCAGATGATCACAGGTAGTTGAATCGATCGTTTCTTTGTTTATATGTTAAGGAAACCAAGAAAAAAAAAAAAACTGAATTGAAGTTATGATATTGATCTTCCAGATTGAAAGTTCATTTGATTTTGAGACAAAGGGTTGTTGGTTTAGTCTTTCTTTTAGTAGGGATCTGCTAAACTATTCAATCTTTTGCACGTTTCTCATAAGCAAAGAAAAACTTTGGTAATCCAGTTTTAAGAAGATTTTGGGTTGGATTTTCTGATCATTTAGTATGTTCTCTTTCTCAAGACACTTTTAATTGAAGGATCTACAATTAGTGTTTGTCTTAAGATGATTCTGCATCTCTTTTTATTCCCTAACTCTTGATATATTTTGGTTAATTTCCTTGTCTTGTTAAATTTTCCTTTCTTCTGGTTTAATTTCTCTTACTGCCTTCCTTGCACATGTTCTTTCGCTGTTAGATACAAGAGATTGAAATACATTTCAAGAAGAAGCTTGAGGAAACCCAACAGGAAACCTTTTTCTGCAAAAATATGGTCATAGTGGATTGAATTAGAGTACTGCTGTTGAATTTGACCTAAAGATTCTTAACCATATGGCACATTACCGCAGAAAAATTTGCTGTACCTTAGATGATTCTACAGATAGCATTGATCAAAGCATGACACAAGCAAATTCTTGTCACAGCATAGCTTTATGTATCTTCTAGTCGTGAACCCTTCAACATTACCTTCTAGGAGATGGGTCAACTTTTCTTCCAAGATAATTTGGTCATTTTGCTGTCCTCGTCTGCGTCAGTATTGTAACAACCTTGTTTGATCTTCATCTTCAACCTCTGCTGTTTCGGCTTGCTCGAACAAGGATATTAGTTTCCATGGATAAGCCCTAACCATGAATGGGGATGGCATGAAACGGATTAATGAAAGACATGACAAATTAATGCTCTTTTGCTGTGATATGGAACATGGCGTAAACAAGCATCATCAACGCAAAATTAAACTGAATGAGAAACCAGTTAGTCCTCTCCTCTGCTTGAAAACCCAATCACAGATCCACAATCACCTCCTTGATCCAAGTCCGAAATTCAGGCAATCTTTTAGGTTATTGGAAGGCTCGCGGATCTTGAACTCCAATCCTTCTTTATTATATAATAACCAAATAAATTAAGATTATTATCGATTGTGTGTCTGTTTGTGTAAAATTCAGACAATCTTTTAGTAAGGACGTCATTACATCAAACGTCAATATCATCATATGAACAAAGAAGAAAATGTCTTTAGTGCATATAAATGGGTCTTAAATACAATTTGATTGTAACATAAAAGACTAATATTCTTGAGTTTTGGTTCGGATTGATTAGGTTCCAAGGAAAAGTCTCTAAAAGAAAAGAACTTAACCTGCGGCAAGAGAAATACCTGAAACTAGGGGGAATCAACTAAGAAAAGAAATGGTTACAGCCAGAGACAAGACTAACAACAACCCAATACTCTAAAATCTTAACAGCTCGTAATGACTCATGGACAGCCTTGTACTGAACCTAGAACAATGCAACGGCCAAGTTTTTTTATTTTTTTTACTTTCTCTTGAGTGAGGTCAATATTTTAGATTTTTTGAAATAAAATTATTAAACAATGAAATATTTCGAAATAAAAGATTTTTTTTCAATAAAAAGGTGAAAGAAATTAAGGGAAAGAAAAATAAAAGAGAAGTAAAACAAATGCAGTGATGCCTTAACCAGCAAGAAAATAAACGGTTGGAAATAGAAACAATATTTTAACAAGAAAAAGGAATTCTATTTTATAGGAAATATTCAACATTATTTGTTAGCATAATTCTCCTGTTATCTTAGGGTTTTCCTATTTTCCCACAAAGAAAAAAAAATTGCTAGCAAGAGAAGCATTAGATGTGGAAGATTACTACAGGTGGCCATAAATGATAAGTTTCTGTTTTCTGCATCGAAAGAAGGAGCAAGTTATAAATTAGTCCCTTTAGTTTTGAAAAATGAAATTGATTAGTCCTTTATATTTTACAAGCTAATTATTTAGTCTTTTTTGTCTATTTTATGTTTTATAATTTATTTTAAAAAATAAATTGATATCATAGAAATATTGATGAGAAAAAATATTTTTTTAAAAATAAAATAATATTAAATTAATTGTGATCAACAATTCGACCATGCCAAATGATTAGATAAACAGTTTTTGAAAAATAGACTAATTAATTCGTTTTTAGAAACTAGAAGGACTAGCTTATAAATCTCAAAATAAAAAGGGGTCATAGGTGGTCTCACCGGGTGTCGTGTGCATGTGTAATAACGAGACACTTTCTTGCCGGCCAACAAACATAAGACCCTCAGAAAAACATAATAAAATCATTACTCTCGACATTGTTTCCGCTTTCTTCGGTTGATTATACCGTTCCTTTTCAACAAGACATCATCTTTTTCAACCACAGTCAGTCTCTTGGTCCTTCTCTTCTTGTGATTTGATCAAAGATGAATGACTTGCTCACGGTAAATTTTGTTTCTTTTTCGGTAACTGTTTGTGTTTTTTTCCCTTTGTAGTTCAGTTTTTGTAGTCTTTGTGTGTATGGGATTGATGATTGTAGTGAATTGAGATCCTTAGCAATGTTTTACTTGATTTTGGTTTTTTGTGGTTTGAATTGAATTTGTAGTGTTGGGTGGAAGCTGGTTTAGCGACCAAATTGGCACTGTTGCGATCAGAAATGAAGTCATGATCATAAATAACAGTTAAAAGTTTGATTTTTTTTTTTTTTTGAGTGGATTCTATTTGAATTTGAACTTTTTAAGGGTTGCCGATGAGTGAATTCTGTGGGTTTTGTTTCTAAATTCAATGACCCAGATGATCACAAGAAGCACACTTGATCATGTCGTAGTTTGATTGTGAGAAATCAGAGGAAAAAGAACCTGAATTAAAGTTTTGATATTGATCTTGTGAATAGAAAACTCACTTGAGTTGGAGACACTTGGATTAGTCTTTGTTTGAGTGGAGATTTGCTCAACTATTTAAAAGTTGCCATCTTTTTGTGATGGACATTTGGTAACCAGTTGTGAAGCTTTTGGGTTGGACTTTCCAATTCTTCAGGAGCATAACTCTCTCAAACACTTTTTGCCCTTCAAGAAATTATAGTTGAATAGATTTGGACTTCTGTTAAATTTTTTTCACTGGATTTGTTTGTTCATTGAAAGCTGATTGCAGTATGTTGTTCTTCCAGCTCCTTTTGAAATGAGAAATATTTTGTGTTACCTCTGTTTTATTTTCAGGATTCTTTTGTTGGTGATTCCAAAGGCCACCGTCCTATCGAAGATGATATTGAAATGGGGATAAGGGTTCCAAGGAGCAACTCTGATATGGGAATGGAAGCTTTCAATAAGCAGGTATTTGACTTACTTGTTTATTGTCCTTTGAGGTTCTGAATTCCAGGGAAACAAGTCGTGAAAACATGACTTGAATTTTGCTTTTAATTTTAGGAAGGAATTTATAGATGTTTGTGTGATTATATTTTGCATTTCTTTTTAGTCCTCCAATTCATGATATATTGGTTATTTTTTAATCTTCTATAAATTTTCTTTTCTTTTAGTTTACATTTTTCTAATTGCTTTCCCTGTGCTCATTCTTTTGCTCTTAGATACAAGAGGTTGAGAAACAGCTCGATAAGATTAATGGGCTGCTTAAGAATCTGAAGGTATGTTTAATTTTCATCAAAAGCCATGTTTCCTTTACAATATGAGGTCAGGTTTATGAGCAATTTCCAGGAAAGTAAGATGATTAATCACATTGTCTTGGGGCAGGTAGATATGTGCTGTGGTTCGACAGTAGTAAACTGGCACAATCAGATGGTTTATGGTTTTCCATATCTCTCTTTTTGTGTAGAAGATGGGATATTTGCTATTTTCTTTTTCATGATTTATGTGTGGATTCCACTATCAGTATATTGTTTGACCATTATATTTGAGCTGAAACAATAATAAAAACAGGGGCGATTTGTGGGATGTGCATTTCAATTCAATTTTGCATTGCAGCTGTATAGATGACAATTTTCAGTAATGTGTTTGACTAGATTAGAATTAGAAGAATCCCACGAATAGCTTTCCCTCTTAGATTACATGTGAATTCTGGTGGACTGTGGTCCCACTACTGGCTGCACTTGATTGAGAAAAGTTTGGTTTCTTGTCGAAACTGCAGAAAGGATCAGTTTGATTAAGGGTTCAAAATCTAGAAGGTGAAGATTTCAGCATTGGTGCAATTTACAGTCAATGACACTGATGTACATCTACTCTGTCATTGTTCGTTTCTGAAGATTCGTCTTCTAGCATATTTGAGAACTATAACGCAACCTGTTCCCACTGTTTAGTGACAATGATGCTAACCAGTGAGATTTTCTAGGGCACAGTGTAGCTGATCTTCTAGTCATGATTTCAGTTGTCAGAGTCAGAGAAGGAAAACAAATTGATAATAGTTGCATTCCTCTTATGACATTCTAATGCCAACTTTTGTGCAGGAAGCGAATGAAGACTCAAAATCTGTAACAAAAGCATCTGCCATGAAAGGTATGAATCTTTGTCTAGATGATTTAGTTGTGTTAAAACATTTGAACTTTCAATTTCAACATTCTAAGTCCATGATAAGTAAACTGTGAGTCCGTCACTTGGCAGTTTGTGATCAGTGAACAAACTTGGTTTTGGCTCACTGCTCTCTGTGATGCTAGATTAGAGTTAGGTCTAGTTGGCTGCTTTATTTGAGTACAAATTTACATAACTTGTTGAAACCTGGTGCAGGCATTTTGATAGCTGTTCCTTCAATGCTTTGTCACCTTAGGCTATTGACTAAGTTACAGAGCTTGCTCCTTTTGCTTGTAGCATTCTAAGAATACTACTGTTACCTCTGCAGCTATCAAGAAGCGAATGGAAAAAGATGTTGATGAAGTGGGTAAAATTGCACGTAATGTCAAAGAAAAAATAGTAGCAATAAACAAAGATGTAATACTTCACTTTTCCTTGACGAAATCCTGCTCCATTCCTGTTAAGAATAGCTAGATTTTTTTTTTTTTTGGCTGATTTCCTCTTTTCCTGTCTCTTTTTCCTCTAGAACTTAAACAATCGACAGAAACAAGGATGTGAAAAGGGAACTGGTGTTGACAGAGCAAGGATGAATGTTACAAAGTGTGTTGCCAGTGAAGAGCTTGACTTTCTTGATTTAGAATGAAATCATATATATATATATATATATATATATACATTCCTCATGTCTGTATGTGCATAAGGTATTTACATTTCATTATTTATTTATTTATTTATTTATTTTTGATTGCAGTGCCATAACAACGAGGTTCAGGGATCTAATGGCAGAGTTCCAGGTAGATCTTCACCCCGAGCAGGTTACTTTGTAGTTAGTTTTGTAAAGTTTCTCATTTTCCTATTTTCCTGCAGACCCTAAGACAAAAGATTCAAGATGAATATCGTGAGGTTGTGGAGAGAAGGGTTATTACAGGTTTGTATACTTTGGTTGCAATTGACAAAAGACACTAAAGTGACAATAAGGATATAGAGTATATAACGATCGTCTAATTCTTCTGTTTAAGTATGTTGGCCATTTTAAAATGGTGGAGTAATTTGTTGTTATTTACGATTGAGCAGTTACAGGAACCAGACCAGACGAAGAGGTGAGCCTGAATTTTAAAACTACATATTGTGGTATAAGGGATATGGATGTTATTGTAATTTTTCAACTCTGGTTGATCATGTTAGACGATTGACCAACTGATTGAAACTGGAAACAGCGAGCAAATCTTTCAGAAAGCAATTCAAGAACAGGGCCGTGGAGAGGTAAGCCTTGACTAATGTCCAACACCACTATGCATAAAATACTGCAAGCTTTTTCTGTTTTAGAAAATTCGCATACAAGAGCATGAAGTTTTGTTATCTTTGACCAGTCCACGTAACTAGATTGTTTGTTATATCTTAATGATTTTGGATGTGATATTTATTGGTATTTAGATTCCTTAGGGGTCTATATTTTGGTACATAGGATTATGATACTGATCTCATATTGAATTTGAGTATCTTTGAGTTCACTGCTGAGTTGAAATATTAAAACCATACGAGGATTTTTTGCTTCGACAAAATACAAATCTGTTTAATCTCTATAATTCCAAGAACATTATTTGAAGGGGATAAAGAAGGTGCAGCCTTAATTGAAAAGAAAATTTCCAAAACAGCTCTATCAATTAAAACAACTGCAAAATCGAACAACTAGAACATAAATCGAAAGTCTTGAGGGAGTGATATAAAAAAGATATTGCAAACTAAAGTTTGAGTTGAATTTCTTCATCTGACATTCAATCCTTTGAGATGCCTCCCACAACCATATGTTACAGAGCTGGACACTCACGGATCTACAGATCAAAATCTTTTTTTGCTGTAAACATTGTTACCAAGTATGATTTAAGCTTCTTTCTGACTTGGAAACCATAAATGAGGTGTTAATGTCCATGTTATTCCACTGTTGCAGTTCATGTTATCCTAGCAAGAGCCTTTGACATGCTTGATATTTTCAAACATCAATAGGAACTGTTCATTCAAGTTTTGAAAGGAAACAGAGATGATGAAAGCATCCTGTTCCATTAAAACCATAAAAATTGTTGTGATTATGGTCTCGATATCGAAATGAACTAGGAAATAATCTCAATGCTTTCCATTTCTCCCCACCTTTCTTGTCTCCTTCTGAGTTTAGTGATGGGGCCTTTCTGTTAAGTTTGTAATTTTGAGACATGGCTGCAGGTGCTAAACACCTTGGAAGAAATCCAGGAGAGACACGATGCAGTAAAAGAAATTGAGAAAAAGCTTCTAGAATTGAAAGAGGTATATATGCTGCTAGACCTAGATACAGTACTCATGCAGGCTACTGAAAGCAAGCTTGCTAATACGATTGTAATTTTGTCAGATTTTTGGTGACTTGGCTGTTCTGGTCGATGCCCAAGGAGAGATCCTAGATAACATAGAAAGTCAGGTTTGTTCCTTCTCAGAACTCACATCTATTTTCAACTTATCATGTGTATGGAGGACTTGCTAGCTTTGTGGCAAGATTGTGGTGTTGCTTGGCATTGCATTAATGAAAATGTTACTCAGGTTGCAAATGCAGTCAATCATGTCCAGTCAGGGACAACTGCACTTCAAACTGCAAAGAAACTCCAGAAGAATTCTCGAAAATGGATGTGCATTGCCATTATAATTCTTTTACTTATAGTAGCCATTATAGTCGTCGGTGTCATCAAACCTTGGAAAAGTAACAAGGGTGCTTGAGTCTGCTGCTTCTTTTGTTACTTAAGCATCGGTAGCTATAACTGATTGGAAATTGTTTGCAGTTTTAAATGTGTGTCAACCTTTCTAGCACCTCCTCCTTTTTCCCTTTTGAAAATTTGTTTCTTTCTTTCTTATCTTGGGTGAAGTTGGTTTGTTTTTGGAGTTGTGGCTTGTGCATCAAGGGTGTGAAACTCAACCATAAAGTATATAATGGGTATTCTTTATCTCTATTTTTCACATTATATGAAGCATTTTCTTCTCCTTTTCTTTTTCTTTTATATGATTTTTCTTTGGATAAATAGAACCTTGTCTTTTACATTAGTTTGAGGTTGTAGGATTCAAACCTAGGCAAACAATTTCAAGAACATTAGATCAAGTCTGTCTTTTATGACTGAACCAATGCCTTTTTGGGCACAGTATGAAGTCTTCTAATTTGTTGATTTGTCTTCTTGTTAAGTTTGCCATGGCCATCTTTTACACTTCAATAAATCTGATGGATAGTAGCAAGAACCCAAAAATTATACTATTCAGGCAAAACCACACTTTTTAATTTCCAAAAATAGATTTAATTTCCTTTTGTTGAGGAAAAACAAAGAATATATGTATATATATAAGAAAAAAAGTGCTTATTAGATCACACCATATGAAATAATGCTGTCTTTTGCCTTTGGTGTTGACGCCGGTAGAGTTTTAGGCCCACACAAAAATTGGGCTGCTTTATTGGAGAGGAACAACCTAGCCCAAGTAAAATGGCATGGGCCATGTCTGTAATTAGTTGGGCCTCAAGAGGAGGGATTGTTTTCGGTTTTTTCAGAAATCAGTTTAAGCAAAGTAGAAATATTTCAAAAAAAAAAAAAATTCTTTCAATAATTTTACATTTCATTTTTTTTATCATATTTGTTGAAAAAGGGAAAAAACACTTTTTTTTTAATACGCATCTTCATGTGAAATAAGTTGTTTTTTTTTTTTTTTTGAACTAACCATTTTGTTCTTCAAATTTTCAACAAATAAAAAGTTCCATGGATTTATATTGATTAAAAAATTAAATCACAGATAGAAAATCAATAAATTTATCTCAAATTTTCTTTTCCAACATTAAATGATAAAAGTTGTAAGAGTCTATCAGATAAATTGCATTATATATTTTAATTTGAAATCCTATAAGAAGCTAAGGGGGAGTTTTGTATTTATTTTTTTTTCTGTTTTTTAAAATTAAATTAAAAAAAGAAAACCTTTTTTTTCCCGTCAAATATTCTTAAAACAAAATAAAATGGTTTATAAAAATTGTGAAATGATTGTTGGTTTTTGCACTACTCCTAAATAACAGTTTTTGGGTCCTTGATGAGGAGTTATACAATTAATTGAGTGAAAAAGTGTGTAATAATAATTTAAGAAAAAAATTAATTGAGTTTTCGAACTTATCTCTCAATTGAAAAGAAAAATTCTACTTTCCCAATCCATTAAATGTTCCTAAAATTACCAAATCCAAACTAAATCAAATATTTTCACTTCGTTTTGTTTTTTTTTCCCCCTAGCTCCTTTCTCCATACAGAGATGTACTATAGTAAATTATAAATTAGTCCCTTTAATTTTAAGAAACAATAATTAGCTCCTCTCATTTTAAAAATTATTATTTAATCTTTTAATTAATGTTGACTATGTTTAATTTAATATTATTTTTTATTTCATAAAATCTCTTATTTTCTCATCAATCTTTCCATATTTTTTTATATATTTTTCTTTTTCTGTTTTTTAAAATAAAAAATCAAAATAAATTAAAAAGAAGTTAAAAAGACTAAATTACAAGTAGATTTCAAAATATGAAAAATAAATTATTAATTTTTGAAATAAAAAGATTAATTAATTTATTTTTCAAAAGAAGATGGACTAATTTATAATTTACTCAGATGTTCTAGCCTAATCTTAGTCCCTTCTGGCCCATGAGTGACGAGATTGGGATCAAATAAAAAACCTAAAATTTTGGCACTTGGCCCTATTCAGTTTCATCCAAACTTTTTTTGGGTTGGTTTTGGTTCTGAATTTCTGATCAAAAACCCTAAAATTTATATGTCAGGTTTATTCTAGTTAGATGCCCACTAAAACAAATCTAGCCCATCTCATTCTGCTCATTTGATTTCTGGAGTGATCCAATCTTCCATCACTTTGCATTTGCTTTCCTCCTTTTATTAAAAGTTAGTAACTCAATCTATACTTTATTATACTATATTGTAATTCTCCAATCAATTTTTATGTATTAAATTTTTAATATATTATTCTATCAAGATTTTCAACCGGCCAAACCATCAATAGTTATGTGATTTGTATATGGAAGTGTTCAATTTTTTGATTAGTAAAGAAGTTTGAAAATAAAAAATAATTATATGCAAATCACCTAATTAATTTTGATAGTTTCCCTAAAAGTTTAACTAAAAAATTAAATTATAAACTTGATGTATATTCAAATATATAATTGATTAAAGGGTTACTATTTAAAAAAAAACATAAACCTTATATTTTTTTAATAATATTAGCACGTTTTTTTTCAATATTGAACGAGAAAATACGCAAAATAAACTTCTATTAACTATATTGGTATGCGTGATTTTTTTCGATCAAAAGGCAAGGAAAAAATGTTGACATTAAGGACTAAAATTCTTTGCCAGTATAAATGTCAATAAAATTTTGATTGGAAAAAGTCAAGCGTATTAATATGGTTAATAGAAACTTAATTTGTGTATTTTTTTAATTCAATATTGAAAGAATATGGTAATATGATTAAAACTTGTAAAGTTTATGTTTTTTGTTATAATAAACCTTGATTCAATTATAAAAATAAGAATAGATTGAAAAATTACCTTAGATTGAGCCACCCTTTTATTATTGAAATGCACCACTTTTTACATTGATTTATTCTAGATTTACTATTGAGGAATGCTATTGGCAGTTGGACCGTCATGCATGCAACCCAAGCATATATAAAATTTGACAATCTTGATACACGTGTGCCTGTTGCTGGGATTCTTGTTTCATGTTTGACATGAATTAGACAGACTATCTCCAAAAACTTTTTCAATGTTTTTGTACTTTCAATATCTTGGTTACAGGTGACGAACGCAGTGGACCACGTTGTGACTGGTACAGATGCTCTTCGAACTGCAAAAAACTTGCAGAAAAAGTCAAGGAAATGCATGATAATTGCTATTATTTTGGTCTTGATCATTGCAATGATCATAGTGCTCTCTGTTTTGAAACCTTGGAAGCATAATTAATCCACAGAGGAAACTACATTGACAGATCTCTTACAGTGTGCAGTAGCTTTATCTATATTCTTTTCTAGTTCTCAACTTGTCTTGTTTATCGGATATGGTACAGAATATCTGTCACGAATCCTAGATCAGGGTATTCTGATTTTGAAATACAGAATAATGAAGTAATAATTAATCCAAGATTTCATGTTCTGCAACTTAGCAATCTTATTGTTGGAATCATGATGTTTTTAACTTTCAAATGACAACCTTAATTTCAGGCAAATTTATGCAACCACAGCAAATGCTGAAGTTTGATGTTTAGTGTTCTTCTTCAGGTAAGTTTGCTCAGAAACCAACCGATACATGGTATGGCAATTAGTTCAATGCTTCCTGAGTGCCTAAACCTCGAAGAAAAACCCTAGTTCAGTGTTTCTTGTGGGGATTTTTAGCGTTTCGATTAGCAACAGTCTAAGTAACTAGGAAGAATTCGATTTAACAAAGATGTGCTGCTAAGAAATGCAAGTACAGTAAAGCAGAAACATGATGTAGTTTTGCAAGCATATGAAGGAAACTGAATTACAGAAAACATAAACAAGTTCCAGTTCTGACAAAGGCTTTAGAGAGAGCTAGAACAAGTACAACGTGGCTGGAAAAAAAGAAGCCAAGAATGGCCTAATTGCCTAAAGGAAATTATTGCCACAAATTATTCACTTCCAGTTCCAGAATATAGGAACTGGTTGATGTTGTAGACGACCCTTTATCCATACTCAAAAGCAGCTTTGCTGTTACATCTTTGACTTAGCAACCATTGCAGTTCCTGCACCACCCATGTCTGTGGCTCCTCGCCTAGACCATGTCTCTTTGAATTGCTCCTCAGTCACTCCTGTAAAACAGAATTAGAATTCAAGACTGTCAAGTAATTGCTACTTAAATGCTTCTTTAATGTACGAAAAACATGTGTATCTCTTACCTTTGCCCATGGCAGCAGTGGAAGAAATGCCTCCCTGGACGGTCTTCAGATACCGATCGTAGTAATTTGCACCAGACCATTTCTGATGTGCAAGAGTGTCAACTCCATTTCTCCTCTCCTCTCTCTGGATCCTCTCTACATAGGCCAACATTCCCCTCTCAGCATAATCTCTTGCAAAAGTATCAGTGACCAGCGCATCCGCATGGAAACCTGCCAGTGTTATGAACTGCCAGCAATACCCTAACTTAGCGATCCTAGGAATGAAATCCCTCATTTGTTCATCATTCATACCGGACGCATCCCAGTTGAAAGATGGGGAAAGATTATAGGCCAACATGATCTCAGGGTGCACCGATTTTACACCTTCTGCAAATTTTGTGCACTCAGCCAAATCTGGGCTTGCACTCTCCATCCAAATAAGATCAGCATGCGGTGAAAAAGCCCTGCCACGAACAATGGCAGCATCGACGGACCCTCTAAACCTATAGAACCCTTCTCTGGTCCTAGGCAAGTCCCAGTCCCAGAAAATATTGTTAAGACCCAATCTTTCAGCAATCTCTCGGCCTTGTTCATGGGACAGGCACTTGTCGTAGCTAGAATGGTTCATCCATTCGTTCAATCTCCTTCTCTTATCATGCTCTCCAATATTCATACTCTTGATTGCATCCACAACACATTCAGAGAATGTCTTGAGTTGTGCCATTGCGAGCCAATTGTCCTCGACGGCTTGAAGTTCAGCTCCAATTTTACCAGCAGCCATTGCTTCTGACAAAAGATTGGCCAAATTTTTCCCTCTCAGATTTGGATTAGTCACACCCAAAATGAACTGGTGATCTCTAGCATCCACATTGGTTTGGATCAAAGTAGCTGCTTCTGCATCAGTTCTAGCTACCAACACTGTCTCCACCCCCATAACATCAAATTGCAGCCTTGCAGCTACAAGCCTATTAATGTGCTCACTAATAGCAACAAGCACCTTACCAGCCATATGACCACATTTTTTGGTCACAGAGGACTGGTCCTCAATATGGACACCGGCAGCGCCACGCTCCACAAAGAGCTTGCAAAGCTTAACAGTTGCTGTGGTGCCACCAAAACCAGTATCCCCATCAGCTATGATTGGCTTCAAGTAATCAACATATGGGGTCCTAGCCCTCTCCTCGCGGTTCATACTCATTCTTGCCTCTCTTTGCTTCCTGTCATGATATTGTTGTGCAAAGAACAGATGTTCTACTTTGTTAGGGACTGTGTCATAGGGGTAATCAGCAAGGTCAGGACCTGGTTCATTGGTACTGGTGTGCGTTGAGGAGCACTGCCAACCAGAAACATAAATGCTGTCCAAGTGCTTAGCCATCATGGCTACTTGGACAGGGTCAAGTGAACCAAAAGTCCTAGAGGCAGTGCCATTGGCTTGGTGAGTCTTGAGAGTCCTCCACAGCTTCTTGGCCATCTCATCCGAGCCATAACCTTGCTTAAGGTTTCCTCGTAAAGCCACAACATCTCTTGCTGAGTATGGTCTCCGGGTTAGGTTGAACCTCTCTGACTTCCACCATGCTTGCACCTCTGCTACTTCTGCTTCAAATCTTCCTTCTTCCTCCATTATCTGCTTACGAATTGTAATATACTCACGCATTGTAAAAATGTTCTGATTGTTTAATTTCTACAAATAAAAGACAATTGATGTCTTAAATATTATTATGGTCAAACTCAATTGTCTTAAATATTATTATGGTCAGACTTATCTATATTTCCAATCTTTTAAATATTTGGAAGAAACAACAAAAGAAAATCCTGAAATTCAGCCATAAAGCATATAATTTATCATAGGATTTTCTCTCTTATTGGACCTTGACGGTCATCCTTATCACTTATGACTCAATAAATAGGATAAGGCTCTGCTAGAATGCCCAGAAACCAGAAGAAAGTTAGAATTACATGCAAACTCTTATGAGGTTCAACTATCAATGGTTTCTGGATTTGGTCCTTGAAGACAAACTATATGTTGAGAGGACATAATAAAAGGACCAGTTTAGAAATTAAGAAATCAAAATTGTGATCCAAAATTGCTGGTATTGTGACACATAAAAAGTTCAAATTATAATTAAGACTAGGGTTAATGGCTCGATCCGTCCTTATATAATAAAGTAATTCTCTATTAATTGTCTTTATATTTCTAATTAAGTCAATTCTATCTTTGAATAAATGTCAAGTTTCTAGTCTATCATTTTAGCAAGATTTTCAAACTAAACTACTGGATTTCATCATGTGATTTAGCAAGATTTTCAAGTTAAACTACTGATTTCATCATATAATTTGCAGATTTGTATGATTTGCAAAGACATTGCAGAAATTAAATTTGGAAATTAAATATAGTCATTTACAAATCACGTGACTAATTTGGGTGATTTTGCTCGAAAATCTTATCAAACTGATAAATTAAAAATTTAACTCAACTAGAGATATAAAGACAAATTGAAGGACTACCTTATTATATAATAACAAATTGACCCAAATCCTTAGAATTGTTTAGTCTTGCATTCAATCAAGTAGCTCAACAAAGAGGCAAGTAATTATCAACAGCCATTAATCACAAAATGCCATGCACCAAGACACTAAGGACATCAGTGTTTATTAATGTTTTGAAAATTATTACACAAATCGGATTCATATGCAAGAAAAACTGCCTTGTTTTTCTTGCAGGGTGATCTTGAGTTGCATATTTGACACTGTGTTTTATCTGTGAAATGAAAGGATCACTCCTCCTCTTCAGAAGGTCTCCTCTCACTGCTGTGTGGTGCAATCATAAATAACTTAATGAATTTGAGACTCTCTAAAGCATTTTTAACATGTCTAGCAAGAACATGCAAGACAATGTATTGAATATAATCATCTAGCAAAGTACTTGAACACTTGCACATAAAATGAGACATGAACTTAGCTCAAATTAGAATATATCCAAGCAGAAATGAAGAACAATATCTTGCATACAACTTTCGATGGAAAAAAAGAAGAAAAAGGTGGTGTTGTTAAGGCTCACCATTGAAGGGACAGAGTAAGAAGCAGCCATTGCTAGAACTCTTCTTCTAAAAAGAATAGTTCCTTGTCTGTGTATTATGTGTAAAAACAACTTAGACAAGTTCATGCAAAATGCTTCTCCAACCTCCTCAATTTATAACAAAAGAGGGTTCCCATCCTTGTGTGAAAAAGGAAAAAAGAAACAAACTTTGCACTGTAGATAAGGGGAAAACAGCCAAAGAAAACAAAAACCAAGAAATTTATTTGTTTCATTGTATTAATTTCTCCCATTTAACCTTATCTCTCTTTCGCATCATGAGTGTTAACTTGTCCCATGGAGCTGCATTTGCAAGGGCACGTATGGCGATGGCAAATTTCTCCCAACCAGACAATGCCACCATATGCTATTACTATTTTTCCTTTTTCTTTTCATATGATGTCACCATTTTCAGTCCTCTGTGTAACTGATTTCAGTTTTTCTGTTTCCATTTTTTTTTAATGTTATTTGTCTATATATATAATCATTCAACTGTCTAATGGGCAGAATGCTGTATTTATGTAAATTAATTCCCTCATTTTTTTCTCATTATTTTTGAATGTTGGTCAACAATTCATACAACATGTGAAAATCTTCTTGGAGTGGTTGCAACAAATTTATATTTTTTTTCAAATAAATAAATCAATTTGTAATTATATAATAATCTAAATCTTGAATTTGTCTTCGTATTTCTAATTACATTTATCATATCATGAATATTATTTTAGTTTTCAATTTGTTGTTCCAATCAATTTTTCAAACTATGAGTAAATTTTTTTATTGAAATATTCCCGATTGAAAAACAAAATTATATAAAGTCATATGACCTATATGTTTTATTTTTTAAATTTTTACATTATTTTTTTTTTTGACATTTTAGATAAGAGCATTTCAGTCAAAAAGTTGTTTATGGTTGAAAAAATAATTGAAATAGCAGATCAAAGATTTAAATATTATTTAAAAATATAATAAATGTAATTAAAAATATAAGGATAAATTGAAAATTCAAATTATTATATAAAAAGAGGTTGAATTATTTACCTTATTTTTTTTCAATATAATCATCCTGGAACTTAAAATAAAGCATTTGTTACAAGCAGATGGCCCTAGAGTTAAAATAAAGGCATTGAATATATCTGACTAGATAGGTTAGGGTAGTTTTATTGAGAGACAGCAAGAATTTCTACTGTCCAGCAACGAAGGGCAGTCTCTCAAACCACTATATATTCGTAGTTTGCATTAATTGTTTCATAACATTTTTGGTGAATAGATTTATTTACTTTATCATTAGTTATTATTCTCTCTATTGATTGTCTAAAAAAATTAACTATATCGGATTGATTTTGATTTAAAAATATATGTGAATCGATAAATCTTACTTAACACCATGTAATATTCAAGTAATTAATAATATTTATTCCAAAAAAGAGAAACAGATGAAAAAAGAGAGAGAGACAGAAACAAGGGAGAAAGAATTAAGAAAAATGAATTTATATACAAAATTTTATTATTACTTTTAGTGATATGGATGTAATTTTTTTTCTGTCTTTTATATTTGTGTTTTGTTTTTCAAAATAGCTCTATATAATACATATCGATACTTAATACTTGAATATTTTAAAATTTATAGTAATAATCTAAAAGATTGCCATATCTAAACTCCATCTATAACGTTTGATAGCAATTTTTTTTTTTTTTTTTTTTTTTTTTTTTGACAATTGGATCTAGCTCGATTTAGTTGATTACAATGTAAGTCCATGACCTCGTAAGTCAAAAGCATATTTTTATCATTTCATTTATAAACTTCGATGGTAATTATTTTTATGACGATTGAATCTCGATTTAGTTAATTACAATTTAAGTTTTTGATTTATCAGAAAATCTATTAGGCCTAGTGCTATACAATAAAAAGAACCTCCCTCGTTACATAATAATAATATTTAAATTAAATTTAGGGATAATTACTAGAAAAACCTTATTAAAAAATCTTCTATCTAAAAAACCCATAAATTTATTTTTAAATCTCTCAAATTCAAAATAATTTTTTTCTTACCAAAAACACATAATAATTAACACTACTCGTTAACTATTGGTTGCTTTGGTAAGAAAAATATTGTTTTAGGCTTGTGAGATTTAAAAATATTATTTTGTGTTTGAGAGATTTTAAAATAAAATAGCATATTTTTTAGATTGAAGATTTTTTAGAAGTTATTTTGATAACTATCCATAGTTTAAATGAAACCATTATCTTTCAAGATATGCATTTCTATCATGGATGATCATGTTTTATTTAATTAATGCACTAAAATATATTATATATTCATCTTGTAATTTAATTTAATTGTTTGATAAAAAATGTTGAGTTTTGATTAATTAAAAACTAGTATTACCAATTATGTTTTTTTTTCCTATCAATATATTAGGATTTAAGAAATCACTAATGCTCATAATCATACATATTTTATTTTTCTTATTTATATGATAACCCTTTAATTAAATTACAAGAGAATGTCAAGAGTCTCATTTCATTAATATTAATTAGTTAAATTGTCTCGGTTGCTATAGTTACTAGATAGTAAAATTAATCTCATAATTAATTAAACAAACGATCGATATAAAAAAAAACTCTAATATAAGAAATTTTTTAGTATAATAAAAAAAAAAAAGTAGTCGAATGTTAGTGTTCAAAATTCAAGGAGCCTCAAAAACTTTTTTTTTCTTTCGAATGCAATAAAAAAGAACTTGACTTGATCATAAAAAAATAATAAATATCAAACTCATTAAAAACCATGAAATGCGTTTATTATCAAATAAAAACTATATAAAAAAATTCTAAAAAATTTTCTATCTAAAAAATTAATCAATTTATTTTTTAAATCTCTCAAGCCTAAAAATAAAATAAAATAATTCTTATAAAAAAAACCCAATAGTTAACTAGTGTTAAGTTAGAGGTTAACTATTGGGTGTTTTGATAAAAAAAATATTATTTTAAGTTCGAGAGATTTTAGAATAAATTGATGAATTTCTTAGATATAAGATTTTTTAGAAGGTTTTTTTGGTAATAATCCCTTAAATTTATTAGGATTCGAATATATTTCACTGAAAAGATGAAATTATTAGATCCATAATCTGTGTTAAGTTATTTCTGCTTACATAGTTAATTCACTGCGTACGTACATTTATTAATCAACTATATATTGGTCAAAACATCATTTCTCTTTTCATACAACCAATCGGTGGAGATGAAGAAAATGATCCCATGAACCAGTCTCATCATCTGATCAGAACATATTGATGAGCCTCAAGACATGCTATTAGTCTTTCTCCACATGGTTTGCCTAAAAATATGACACACACTTGCTGCAAACTTCCGTCTTTCAAACCATATATGCAAAATTTGCTGTGCAGGGCGGTTAAATGGATATATATACTCTTCTGTTTTTTTTTTTTTTTTTCAAATTCAATGCTTATCCCTCTCCAAAAAAAAAATAATAATAAAAGAAAAAAGAAAAAAATTATCAACTTGTATAAAGAAAAAACTGCTTTTATATCTTTTTTATACTTCTAGCCTTTTTTTTAATTTGTCCTTTTTAAATAATAAAGCTAGAGAAAGTTAGGAGTTTGATCACCACATAAAAGTAACATTCTGAAATTATAGAATTCTTGGGCATGATCACGAACCCTTTTTATCATAAAGATGAGTTTAATTTTAGTGCAAAAAACTTCACATTAAATTGCTCCTTTTTTTTTTTTTTTTTTTTTTTGAAGTCCAAAACATAGTTTCAAATTTCATGGGATAACCCTTTTGGTTATTTTAGATATAGATAATTAGGTAATGCGGCCAAAGATATTGGAAATGGACTTTTTGTGATGACCGGATTCAGTATCTTTTGGTCATTTATAGCGTTTCACGTCTAAACATTCATTTTATGATGTGATTTTTTGTATGTAGTTACGATTAGGGTTGAAAGTTTTCCAAACTTATCTTCTTTTTTTCTATTTTAATGAGCTCCCTTCATCTGTGAATATATATTTGATGTGATTTTTTTTTTCTTATTCCTATGATTTTATCCATATATATTTGTGTTGCATCCTTAACATTTCTTCTTTTACATTCCAATCTCTTATCTTTTGGAATTCTTCATCTGTGGGATTTGGTCATATAGGTAACGATACAGAAACAGCTTCCACGAGTTTGGAATTGGGAGTCCCGAGGACAAACTTAAGATAAGCCTATCTTTACTATTCTTTCTCTATCTAATCTACAAGATGACAATCATATATAGATTCTGCCTTAAAGCTTTATCTGCTATAGGCCAGGTTAGCAGAATCATGTGTTCTTATCTTTGCCTTCTCTTTCAAGCAATTTATATCCTCATGTATTCGTGGACACTTAAAAAATTCATTTGATGCTTCAAAAGAAAAAAAAATTGTAAATATTAAGCCATGATATAAAAAGTGATTTAACAAAGTGGTTTATTGACAAACATCTCTTGCACTTCTTTCCTTTTAAGAGGGGATGTGCTTTAGTGATAATAGGATTGCTTTGATTTGATTAGAATTTGGATTCAATTCTTATGTATCTCATTATATATAGATAATTAATTATAATTATTTTTTAATAGTATTAAATTTGGATTGATTTAGTTTAAGAAATAGTTTAGTAGTCAATAAAAAATTAAACTTGTCAGGAGCTAGTGAATTCAGTTTTTAATTGAAGCAAAAAGTGATCTGAAAATATATTTATAAGTATCTTTTGATTTGCTGTAAGATAGTTAGTAATGGATCATAAAGTTAGATGTGTTCTAGGATTGGTTTAACTCGAAAAATAATGATTTTAATCTCTATTAATACAAAAATTAATCTAAAAATATTTCATTATTTGTAACTATATATATAAAATAATGAGAATAATAGTATGTCTATTGAGAATTTGAGATACAACTTAGCATATATGTAACACAAAAAAGGATTATACAATTTGACCCCTTTTTTTCTGTTTTTGTTTCACCCATTTAATTAAAAATCTCATTGTTATACAGCCCTTTTTCATATCTATATATTTATATTTATATGTGATGGAGGATTGTGACATGCACGTCACCTAGAGATGGGGGAAATGGAGGAAATTGTCTATTTGCACACCGCTAACAGATTGCTTGAAGACGACAAAGACAGGAAGGTCTTTGGATTTATACCCATGCATGTTTCTAGAAACGTTAAAAGAAAATTTCCAAGGCGAAATAAATGGCAGGAGCAATTGGCAATGGTGGGTTTTTGGAGATAGGGGACTTGATGAGTTATTTTGGAGGTGGGGACTAGGGTTTAATGGTCCTGAATTGATCCTTGCAGGGTAACGAATTTAGCACTTCGAGAAGGAAAAAGGTAACTTCTTTATCTCAAATATCTTTGGAGCTGATTTTGTCCTTCAAGAAGATTCTATGATCGTAGCTGTTAGGGACCCATTTAAACTACTATAAAAAATTAATGGACTATTGTGTCACCTCAAACTACAAGGTTTTGTTTTGTTTTTTTGTTTTTTTAGTTTTTTCAGCTAATTAGCTATGGGATCGTATTATGAGTCATCGAATCGTATGGTCTTAACATAAAAAAAATTGTTAAAAATATTATGAGTCATCGGGTCGTATGATCTTAACATATAATCTTAATATTGTATAATCTAATTATGAATTTTATTAATCTTGTGTATTAAAAAAAAACCAAAAAAAATTATCTTGAAACTTCAAAATATGAGGGGTTTTTTCAAATAAATTAGTCAAATCTTCTTAATAAGAGTATCAGAAATGCTAAAAATTAAAAAAAAAAATGTTAAAACATTATGATCATTGGGTCATATGATCTTAACGTATAACACAATGAAGAATTCTACTAATTCATATATATTCTTAAAAACAAATCTTTAATATTTAGTATTTATCCTTTGTTTTGGGTAATTTCAATTATAAGAAAGTAATCAATTGTTTTTGTTGGTTTAAACATAGAATTTGGTTGGAACCCAATTATTTCTTGTGTTAAAGGATAATATAAATCGAGGGCTTACCTAATAGCTTAAGTTTTTGGATGAAATGATCCCACCGACATGGTATCGTAGTCTTGATGATCAAACGATCATAAATTCGAATTTCACCACCATCATTTCTCTTCTAATTAATTAAGTAAAAAGTAGTGTGGGTCCGTACAAGTTTCAAACCTAAAGGGTCTCATTTGAGGGAGGTGTTTTAGAAAATAATATAAATTAGCACCTCACCTAACAACTTACGTTTTTAGATGAGATGATCCCTTTATTAAAAAAAAACGAAATTGTTAAATATATTTCTTGGTGGCAAACAAAAAAGGACACAAAATCATTTTGAGCCAACATAGATGGTGTGGATATGGGCAATCATGTAGACATATAATTGGGAATTGGATATGCAAATTAACAAAACATTGGCCTTAGGCTGGGATTCAAGCATGTCAAAGATACAAATCCTTGTAAATTAAGTTAGTAAGCAGCCAATCAATTAGGAATCTACCTTTTCATGATGCCAACAAACTTGCATACATTCTAAGATTTAGGATTCGCGATATATACATAAAAAATAATAGAGTTCAAGTGTTCGAGATTGATTTTTTTTTTTTTTTTAAGTTTAACCTAAATATCTTCATTTTACATTAAAACTATAATTGATTATATTTAAAACGAAACAATAAAATTTAACTCTTTTCAATAAATATAATTCTAGAATTCAAACTATTTATATTGATAAAAAAAATTATCTGAAAACTAAATTATTTATTATTAAATTAATAACTTGTATGTCGCGATTGAATTTTGGATATAAAAAAGAAACTCCTTCCATGATGTGTAATTGGGCCATCCCATAACGATATTTACAAATTAAGAAACATTGTTTTTTGGGCCACTTGACTTGAACTCTAAATATGTAAATAGACTGCTCATAACCAAATCTTATTGTGAAAGAGGGGAGAAAAAAGAGAAACAAAGAAAGGGAACTTGTCTGGAAAAAAGCCTAAACTTGGGTCCAACATGTTACCTCTCTTTGCAAGTATTTAGTATGATACTTCTATTTGCAAGTTGCAGCCATCCATTCTTGAAGACTCAAGTTTGATCAGTAACTGAAAAGCCAAGCCATTATATAGGGTTCGCATTTAAAAAAAAAAAATTGTAAGAAAATAGTTCTTCTGTCTCAGACATATCATCAAAGTTATTAATTAGCATACCATATCCATATTTTTTAATTTTTTTTAAATTTTTAGTTATTAAATTTAATCATATGCTACATGAAATCAATATTAATTTCAGAAGAAAATTTATCTAAAATTAAGGTGGTAAATCAAAAGAAAAATCATTAAATTAATAAATAATTAAGTTTAAAACAATTATGGAAAAATATCATATTAATAAAAATATTTTTACTTTCAAAATTTTAGCATTTAGTAAAGTGTCTACAAAAATAAATAGTTTTCATATAACAACAAAATTTCCTTTGAAATTTTTAGGATAAAAGTATTTGTGTGTAAAAGAGAAGAGTATAAAGAATATTATTTTTCGGTTAGTAAAAGAGCAGGGATGAAAGAAGAATTGATTTTCTTTATCAATAAGAAGTATTTTTTTAAAAAAAATAATTTAAACTTTTGACCACAAATATTTTGAAATACACGTAAATAGAAAGAGAGGGTGATTTTTTATGAATGTATCCTTACAAACATGAATTGTTTGTTTAAAATCTTAATATTTGAAAACTGATTTAAAAAAAAAAATCATCCTCTCTACTTAAGTAATATCTTTCAATTATATTGGATTGATTACTAAGGATAATTAGACTCTCGCTCTTATCACTTAAAATTCAAAAACATATAACACTTTGTATTAAAAACGAACATGATCAAGGGACATTATAAAAGTGTAAGATATCAATGATCTTTTCTTACAAAATTTTATAATATTCAAAGAATAACTAGTATATTATTCCATGGGTTTACTTTTGAAGAGATAGATAGATATATTAAAAAAAAAATCACATCCAAATTCATCAAAAGTAATAAAAAGATTTTCATATTAGTTTTTTTTTTTATTTATCTCTCTTTGTAAAGTAATTGTATAATCACTCGTTGAGTATTATAAAATTTCTATTCTTTTCAATTTTCATGAACTTTATCAATGACATTATTATTGAATGTGAGATTTTTCAAATGTTTCAGACGTTGTGCTCCGTAGTTGTTGAAAAGGAAAGATGCCAAACAAGCACATCAAGCATTTATTTTCTTTTTCATAAAAAAATAAAAAATAAAAAAATTCTGTATTTTTTTTTAAAAAATATTTATGGGTATTAGAACCTTCTAGAGTCTGTTTTTACGTTAATTAAAAATAAATTCATCACATTTTAGATTAATTGATTTTAAGGAGCGGTCTTTTTGAATCTCTAAATAACCTATGTCTGGTGGGTGCCATACAAAGATACACGGTCCAAACAAGAGAAGAAAATTCATTTACCATCTGAATTGTTTGAACATGACAGATGTGGGCTTAAGAGTTGAGATTGACTTATTTGGCCCAAGAACTAGCTATTCATGCATGAACTCTATTTTTTTCAATAGCTGAGCAAAACCAGCGTAATCATGCTTTTTTTTTCTTTTTTTAAACTAGTGGAACCTTAATTGGATCTTAAACTATAGAATATTACAATGAAAACGAGTTTTCTACTCTTTAAATCCCTCCATTCTTTGTAGGTATTTGCAAGAATTGACCATAAAGTTGCCACTTGCTTAATGTAATACCAAATGATTTTACCAACTAAATTACACACCACACGCAAAAGACTACTGCATTCGAACAAAATTTCTCAGCCTGTTATTGATTTAGTGCTAGTTTGGGAGCTCTAATCTACAAAATAAAGTTATTGAATTTTATACAAGTTAAACATTTCTTGAACTTTAATCTGTTTGAGAATCAATTTCTGAATTTTTAATTTTGTATTTGACATCTTTTGAACTTTAGGTTTTTTTAGCTTTTAGTCTATTTTGTAGTTTTCTGATGAAAAATAACAATCATATAAATAGCATCATAATAAAAATTATTCAATAAAATTTATTTAGGACTTCTCAAAAAATTTTGAATTATTTGGTGTTTTTTTTTATCAATTCTTTATATTTGTAATATTCAAAAAATAAACGAATATATTTTTCCATCTCGAAAAATTCTATGATGTGTTCAAAAAATATGTTGAATTTTTCCCAAATGTGTGTGCAAACTTAGCTCAAAATATAAAAAAATTATTATTATTTTTAAAAAAATGATAACTGAAAATCATAAAATTGACTAAATCTTAAAAAAATAAAAAAATAAATCCAAATTAGAAATTTAAATATTAATTTTAACATGAATTAAAGTTCGGAAAATATTTGATCTAGTTAGACTTTTCTACAAACATAAAAATATTTTGAAAGCATATGTCATCACATCTTTTTCACTATGATAACACTAAAAGCCAAGATTTTACCAAGTGGATATATCATCGCATCTATTCCAGAATTACAAGACTAAAAGCCAAGGTTTTACCAAACAGGTGACCGTATCAGCAAAGTCAAAAACCCAAAATTCTTACCATGAATATGACCGCTGATATGAAACATTGAGCACCAATAATTTGTTAGTCTAAGTAATATACGAGCTAATCTCTAAACAAATTTTTTATCAATATATAAGATTAAAAGTCTAAAAGTTATATTTATTAAAAGAGATCAAATCTTATGATTTCATCTCTAAATAAGATTAGTTATATCTCTAATGTGAGATGAGGATAACTAGAAAGAAAAAAATGAAGAGAGATCGTCAAAGTAACTAATTGATATACCATATTAGAATTTTTGTTCATGCTTTTTTAAAATACATTTTTTGTTAAGATGTTATCAAATTTAATCTCATATCACATGAAACTAATATTAATTTAAGGAGAAAATCTATACAAAATTAAGGTGGTAAATCAAAAGAAAAATCGCTAAATTAGTAAACGATCAAGTTTAAAACAATTATAAAAAAATAATATACTGACTGAAATATTGTTATTTTAAAAATTTTGACATTTAGTAAAGTCTTAGAAAAATAAGTTTTTTTCGTGCAACAAAAAGTTTTTCTTTAAAATTTTTAGAATTAATACCCTCACTTATCCTTATATAATAGGCCAATTTCCTAATCTATCCCTACATTCTACAACATCTCTAATATGCCCTTATTATTTAAGCTGGTTTCTAATATATCCTTTTAGTTAAAACTTTTCGACCAATTTATCAAAAAATCATCATGTGATTTTCACATGATATGTGATTTGACAAAATTATCTTTATTATTTGACATATGTAATCTATATTTACTAATATGAAGATTAATTTCTAATAAATTGATTGAAAATTTAACTAGAATAATATATTAGCAACTAGCACAAATAAAAATGACATATTAGAGGCGTTTTAAAATATGGAAACAGATTGAAAAATTGACCTATTATACAAAGATATATGAGAGTATTAACCTAAATTTTTATGTTAAAGGTATTTATACGTAAAAAAAAAAAAAGGTATAAAGAATATTGGTTTTTGGTTAGTGAAATAACACGAGATGGAAGAAGGATTGATTTTCGTTATTAATTAGAGGTATTTAAAAAGATGATTATTTAAACTCTTGAACAAAAAAGTATTTTGAGATAAATATAAATAGAAAGAGAATCAATTCCTTTGAGACATAAAAACTAATTTTTTATGAGTGTATCCATATAAATATGGATGGTTTATTTAAAATTTCGATATTTGAAACCTGATTTTAGAATAATGTTAAAAAAAAAAAAAAAACTGATCTTTTCAACTCAAATAACATCTTTCAATCAGATTGCTAAGTATAATTAGATTCTGGCTCTTATCAATCAAGACACAAACACACATAACACTTTATAGTAAAACATGATAAATGGACGCCACAAATGTGGAAGATATCAACAGTCTTTTCATGAACTGTATCGATGTGAGATTTTTCAAACTTTTATCCTCCATATTTGTTGAAAAGGAAAGATGCCAAACAAGCACGTTAAGCATTTATGTTTTGTTTTTGTTTTTTATTTCATACGCAAATTAAAAAAATTTATTTATTGATCATATATTAATTAAAACTAAATCTATCATTTTTTTTATTAAGTTAATACTGATCATATTTAATTTTTGATCAATTTTAATGATCAAACTTTTTTGATCTATCGACACTCTATATTCAATATAATGCAAAAGGGAAGAATGAGCTTTCTAAGAAAGAAAATTAAATTCCAGACCTTATAAATCAGAAACTCTTTTTATTATTTTATCTACAACTTTGGGTGATAAATGGTTGTGTTTTAAGTAGATGACAATTTTCTAATCCCCTTCAATGTTACACTATCCTGATGAACATGTTTTACTCTAGTCTCATCGCACAGAATTGGACTCTCTTTTTTATTATTATTTTTATAGTTGGAGTGAATTATTATTTTTTTATTAGGATAAGAGAAGCAAATTCATTTACCATCTGAATTGTTTGAACATGACAGACGTGGGCTTAAGGGTTGAGATTAACTTCTTTGGCCCATGAACTAGCTCTTCATGCATGGACTCTGTTTTGTTATTTTTTTCAACAGCTGAGCAAAACCAGCTTAATCATTGCTTTAAAAAGAAAGAAAAAAAAACTAGTGGAACCTTAATAGGATAAACTATAGAATATTACAATGAAAACGAGTTTTCTACTCTTTTAATCCCTCTATTCTTTCTAGGTATTTGCAAGAATTGACTCTAGAGTTGCCACTTGCTTAATATAATACCAAGTGATTTTAGCAACTAAATTACCCACCAAAGGCTACTGCACTCTAACAAAATTTCTCAGCCTATTATTGATTTAGTGCTAATTTTGGAACTCTTATCTACGAAATAAAGTTTTTGAACTTTTGAATTTTATACAGATTAAACCTTTTTTTGAACTTTAATCTATTTAAGAATTAGTTTCTAAATTTTAGATTTTGGATTTGAAATCTCCTAAACTTTAATTTTTTAATTTTTAGTCCATCTTTTAGTTTTTAATAAAAAATAACAGTCGCATAAATAGTTTCATAATAAAAATTATTCAGTAAAATTTATTTAAGATTTCTAAAAAAAAAATGGATTATTTAGGTTTTTTTTCCATTTTTTATATTTTCAATATTAAATAAATAAATAAATATACTTCTCGATCTCGAAAAATTCTACCATGTTTTCAAAAAATATATTGCATTTTTTACCAAATGCGTGAGCAAACTTAGTTCAAAATACCAAAAAATATTTTTTTTTAAATGATAGCTTAAAATCATAAAATTGACGAAATCTTTTTTAAAAAAGTCAAATCCAAATTAGAAATCCAAATATTAATTTTTAAATGAATTAAAATTAAGAAGATATTTGATCTAGTTAGGCTTTTATGGAATATAAAAATATTTTAAAAGCATATATCATCACATCTTTTCCACATTTACAACACTAAAAGCCATGGTCTTACCAAACGGACCTGTCATCACATCTTCTTCACCATTACAACGCTAAAAGCTAAAGTTTTACCGAACGGACCTATCATCACATCTTCTTCCACAATTACAACGCTTAAAAGCCAAGTTTTTACCGAACATCTTCGCAAGTCAAAAACCCAAAATTCTTACCATGAATATGACCATTGACAGGATACATTGAGCACCTAAATCTCCGCCCATGTCAGGACAGAAATTACTGGACAGTAAAAGATGCTTCTTGGATCACAAGTTAACTGCTCTGCCCTGAGCCAGAGGACACAGTCCATCAGGCATCATTCTAAAAAGCAAGGGCACATTCCCTTCCCTTTCATGTTTTGTCTGGCACTAGATCTCTGATTTAGAATGGTACCAAAGTGCAAAACTGAAAAAAAAGTTACCATCTTTCTATAACGCATCTTTATGCAAGTCACTAGTTTTAGCCAATCTCGTAGATTCCGAAACAGACAACATCTGTGCTTGAAAAACTTCATAAAAATCCCAAAGATTAAAGTTCCATTTTTATATACAAAGACCAAATAAAACTATGTCTCTGATCGAATTTAGGATGTAAGAATTTCTGATTTTACCATATGAACAAGCAGATTTCATTATATAATCTAAACTCCCAAACATTAATTAACTAACCATTACCACATCGAATAAACCATTGTACAGATATTTTGATCACAACTAAAACCCCCCATATTGCAGTTTCTTGGTAGAACCAAACTTTGTCACACGCAACCCAAAATTTTTGTGCGACTCTAGTACATCAGACAGGACCTTTGATTGGAACCCTAATTTACTGACTTGTAGAGTATCTTGAAGTCCAGTACTTCTCAATTTCCTCAGCTGTTCTTCCAGGAATCCTCCCAGCAATTAAAGTCCACCTAAGAAGATCAAAACTTTCTTAATCCAAACTAAAATAGTAGTAGTTAACAGACAAGTAAAGGGCAAGGCAGAGGTAAAGTTTAGGCCTACCGCTCACCAACCAGCTTGTACATCCTTGTGATAAGAGTTTCCTCATCTTCTGAGAATTCAAGCTTAGAATCTTGGCTGCTGTCTGCTGCAATTTATAACCCAAGAAAGATCAGTCTTTAGTTTCAAATTGCTAGCTTTAAAAGAAAGAGAGAAAAAATATAGCAAAGGAGTAAAAATTTTCAATCTTGTAACAACCATTAAAACCCAGAAGGCAAAACACAATTGAAGCGGAAACTAGCCAGAAAACAAAAGAATAAACGCAAAATAAAAGTACAATGAACCCATTTTCAACATTTTCAACTACTAATTAAAAACCCCATGATTAAAAGTGTTCCAAAAAACCATTACTTTCAAAAGGGTAAGTTGGAAAAAAAATGCAAAATCAACCAAAACAGGCAAAAAAATCAAACTAAGTACCTGTAGAATCAACAGAGAGATCATTACTAGAAGATTGATCCAAGTCAGCCATAATAAAGAGCAAAAACTAAAATAAAAAGTTTGTAATTTTGAGGTATGGAGGGTAACTGTGTGTGAAATTGAAGAGACATAAGAAGTGTGGTATTAATAGAGGAGGCAATAAAGATTCCTAAAAAGTGGTCTTCAATGGATGGAGAAGAATGGGCGGTGGTGTGGAAGAATGGTAGTTGAAGAGAAGTGTGTTCCTAGTTAGTCCAACTTTGATAGGTAGTTGAACTCTTAGCCGTTGGTTGGGGCTTGTAGGAGTAAATTATAAATTAGTCCTTTTAGTTTTAAAAAATGAATAAAACAATTCCTCTTGTTTTAAAAATTAATTAATTAATCTTTCAACCAGTGTTAATAATAGTTAATATAGTATTATTTTATTTACAAAAATATATTCATTTCTCATTAATCTTTACATATTTTCTCTTTTCTCTATTTATTAAAAATTAAATTAAACAAATGAAAAAGGATTAAGTTGCAAATATGTTTTAAAATACAGGGATTAATTAATTATTTTTGAAAAAGTAGAGAGACTAACTATAATTTACACGTACTTGTAGAAATAATTTAAATATTTTTCATATAATATTTTTTTCCCTTGCTTAGGAGGAGAACTTTTTGACCATGAGTACTCTTGTAATTATATTCTATGATTACCTAAAGTGGCGAAATGACGAGTTTTTGCCGACTACTTAAAAGTTTATCCTTGCAAAAATGATTCACTAATTTGAATTTTGGTAGGTTTACTTTCAAATCTTGAGATCAATGGGTCCTTAATGTTGAGTTTTAAAAAGGTTTCATAGTTAAATATAATTGAGGAAATCATGAAGGTGATTTAAAAAAAAAAAACTGGAAAAAGAAGAAAAAGAAGGCCGGCAGAAAATGATGGTGATTGGAAATTGAAGTTCTGCTGATTCATGCATAAATAAGTAATTAAAAAATAGCAAAAGTTTGATAAAAGAGGTTTGCACATTTGAAGGCACTAAAAATGTTAGGGCCAATAACTAAAAGCTCAAAGAAAAATCAAAAGTATTTTATTTTAAAAAATATCTTCTTTTCTCATAAATCTTTACATATTTTTTTTTCTATTTATTAAAAAACAAAATAAATTGAAAAACGAATGAGATTAAGTTGCAAATGAATTTTAAAATACAGGGACTAATTAATTATTTTTGAAAAAGAAGAGAGACTATCTATAATTTACACGTACTTGTAGCAATAATTTAAATATTTTTCATATAATATTTTTTTTCCTTGCTTAGGAGGAGAACTTTTTGATCACGAGTACCCTTGTAAATATATTCTATGATTACCTTAGGTGACGAAATGATGAGTTTTTGCCTACTACTTGAAGTTTATCCTTGCAAAAATGATTCACTGATTTGAACTTCTGTTAGGTTTATTTTCAAATCTTGAGATCATTGGATCCTTCACGTTGAGTTTGAGATAGGTTTCATAGTTAAATATTATTGAGGAAATCATGTGGGTGATTTAAAATAAAAATAAAAAAATGAAAAAAGAAGGCCGGCAAAAAATGATGGTGATTGGAAATTGAAGTTCTGCTGATTCATGCATAAATAAGTAATTAAAAAATGGCAAAACGTTTGATAAAAGAGGCTTTGCACATTTCAAGGCACTAAAAATGTTAGGGACGATAACTAAAACTTGGGTTAGACATTATTAGCTCAAAGGAAAATCCGAAAGTATTTTATTCGTTTCTTTTTGAAAAAGCAAGTCTTTATTTATTTGAAATTGTAGTTAGAAGTACGTACATAAATTAATAAAGGATCAAACTGGTAAAATTTTCAACTCAAGAACACTTTATAGTAAAACATCCTTGGGTTGTTGGGCGTTAGGTATAACTGGATAACCTTGCATTTGTTTTCCTCGTAGGACCTGAAATTGTGTAAGAACGGGTTGAGATCGAGACAAAGACCAAGTGGGACTCAGGAAACTTGCATGGGTGTTTAGCTAATGGCCAGTAAGGCAGGTAATTCTTCCAGGTAGTGTTGACAGCAGTAGTCGGGAGAGATCCATGTTTGGGAAGAAGACAAACCACGAAATAATATAGTATAAAAAATGCCCTAGATGACAAAAAGAGAGGTACTGTTCGATGCATACTGAGCACTTGTTTATTTCTGTATAAATGTACGTGAACAAGTACAAGATGTTTATGTCTTCGTATCCTTGAGTTGATAAGGTTTTTCTGGTGAAGACTCCTTGTCTGGTTGTTTAAGCAAAGCAAAAGGGAAAAAGATGTGAAAGAGCTTTTTTTATTATTATTATCAATTCGATCAAATAAGCACGTCTATATCAAATGTAATCTAATAATTATTATTTTTTTTAAATTAAAAATTTATTTCGATTAATTGAGTAAAATATTTTTCGTTACTTTTTGGATAATAAATCTTCTTCTCCATCTTTTTGAAATTTTAATAATTTTTTTAATTGGTTAAAAAAATAAAAATATATAGGTGCTTAATTAACCGCTAGACAATTGTTTGCTTACAGCTCCCATAAAATTAGGGAGCAACGACGTCGTCTGCCTTCTTGGGTGGTAAAACGACGTCGTTTTCACAAAAGCTGTTTTTTACTGCCGCATTTGACGACGTCGTTTGTCTCAGGAGGTCTCGTTTCCTTTCCGCCTTTGTTTCATTGCCCTTCCATGGGAGAAAAGGGTGCGAGCTCAGCTACTGGAACTAGTGGGTTTTGAGGAGTTTCTTTGCTTTTCTTCTTATTTGATGAGCTCGTTCTTATGTTGTTCTTGTTTTTTCTTCATCTCAGCTCGGACGATTTGCTCTGGGCAGAGGGACTGGGGACTTCTAGAGGTTAGGGGATGGGGGTGACGATGGTGGGTTTTCCCCTCCTTCTCTATGATGGCGGGTGGCGGTCGGTGGTGTCTTCTTCTCGAAAGGCCAAAAACTAGGTACAAGAACATGATATGTTTTTAGTTCATGCCATGTTTCTTTCTTAATTCAATGCATGCAGCTATTAGATTTTTCTTAATTCAACGGTTCTTGCGCTTGATAAAGTTACAAACCCTTTTTTTTTTTTTTGGCAAAAATAATTTTATCTCATCTAAAGAAATTATTCGGCTTTTCGGTTTTTTTTTTGTTTAAATTGTTTTTCTTTTTTCAAAATTTTTTAAATAGACAAAAAAAATAAAAATAAAAACAATCCGTTATATATTTATAATAATGTTACAGTATTGATTTTACATAGTAGCAATAGTTTCATTGCTTTTCATCCACATGCAAGTTTTTCCTTTCCAGTGCAGCTGCGTTGTTCATCTTTCCTCAACCATTCACATGTTTCTAACCACCTCTGTGCTTTATTTGAAACAAGACAACCCATGTCAAGTCCACAGTGCAAAAAATCATTGAACAATTTGGTGGTCATGGTGCCTTCCCTAAACAATAATTGCTTCAGCTAGAAACGACACTATTCTAACACCTCTTTCACCAGCCCCTATGCCTATAAAGCCTAAATCACTCTATACGTTAATAAGTTGATGGTTTAATAATAACCGGTGGATTGATAAATTTTTTATTAATACGTAATATTTGAATTTTAAAATCATATTTATTATAAAATTTAAATTTTATTATTATTATTTTTTAAATATAATTAGTCGTATGAAAGGTAGATATTAAGGAAAAAAAAAAAAAACTAAAACATGCATACAGTATTAGTATAGCCTTGAAGGACACTTGCAATATTTGTCTACCAGATTATTAATATTTCCTCCTCGACAACAATTTTAGGTTAAATATTTCTGCTTCTATTTTTTCACACATAAATTGACTCGATTCATTCGATTATCGAATGGTTAAACGAGATGGGAACAGACAAAAGAGCAGCTGTTTGTGTCTCCTTCACGAAAAACTCCATGGCAACCCATGCCAAGGTCAATAGCTTCAACGGATGAATGATTGCAAATAACTGGCTTTTTGTCTGGATCATCCTTATCATTGATAGCCCTCCATGAAAAAACAAACCAAAAAAAAAAAAAAAAAGCTGCAATTATTTTTATTCTCTTTTAATGTCCAATTTTTTATTTTATCTTTTCGATTTTTTTTTAAATGAGTTTTGGCTACATATGTAAATCTTGTACCTTTCAAAAATTTTTAAGTGAGACTGTCTTTCTTTTTTTTTTAATTGAGAACTTTTATTCTTTTAAACCAAATCTTCCGTTTTGTCGTTGTCTTTTTTTTAAACTAGCTAAATCAATCAGTGATGACAAGTGTTATTGTACGTTTCAAAAAAAATAAATCCCTCGCAATTAAAAAAGAGAGAGAGAGAGAGAGAAAAACTTGTTTTAATAATAAAACAATAAATAAATAAATAAATAATAGTAAAATTACCAAAATACCTCGCCCCGTTATTTCTCAACCAATTTTTTTTAGCGGCAGAAAGGTTCTCTCTTCTTCACTGTCACTGTCACTGCTCTCTCTCTTCTCTTTCTCTTCTCGGTCACTTAAAAAGATGATTCATCTCTACTTTTTGGCTGTGTTCAAACAGTGGGATGATTTCCTTTTGAGTTTTCTTTGAATTTTTATTTCATTTGATTGCTTAACCTTTTTAAATAATTACGAATGAAATCCAATTTTGAATTTTTATTTTATTTGATTGATTAACTTTTTTAAATAATTACGAATAAAACCCCCTTGTTATTATGTATCAATGAATCCCAACTATCTTAGTATTTTAAAACTTAAGTTATTAAAGCAACTCAAATAGAAAAAATAAAAAAATAATAAAAATAAAAATCACACTCAGAACTCATATAGACAGAACTAGCTGATTTCCGTGTTACACTGCAGATGCGGATAGGAAATAACAAAATTATTTTAAAATTTTATAAAATTATTTAATTTATTTTTTTATTTTTTATAATTTTTTTTACTTAAAAATAGATGATTTATTATCTTGTATACATTGGTTAAATAAAAAATTATAATAATTTAAATTGAAATATTAATCAAGAAGTAAAAAAACTAAAAATATATTTTCTATAAGAATACATTTCAAAAAATAAAATTATAATTAATATATGAATTTATATAAAAAATAACTAATAAAAAATAAAATTTTATTTCTATTTAATAAAAATGAAAAGATTATTTTTATTCAAAAACTGTGTTTTGTTAGAAAGGAAATTTGTATTTTGACTAAATCTTTGTTTGCAAAATTCTAGTAAGAGTCATCATGAAAAGCTCTTGAAGCAAAAGAAAAAAAAGATGCTCGGAGACCTGAAGCGCCAGGGCCGCGCATCAAGGCCTGGACAGGGAAAAAAAAAAATTGCTGGTGCATTTTTTTTACGGGCTCGATTTGGTCGAAAATTTGGATTTTATTATTTTCTGTCTCCTAAAATTAAATTCAGTTTCGATTTTATCTAAAAACATCTTAAAATCACATGAATAATGTAAAAAAAATATTTAAAATCTCAAAACTCATTTTAATTTACACAGATCGCATAAAAACTCAAAAAAAAAACAAGCTAAAAATATTTTTGGATTTTCGGATTTTCAATCTACCTTCATCAACTAGCAAGGTGGCCATCAAGTGCCACCCCGCCGGCCCTCTCTCTCCGTTATTCCTCTCTCCTCTTAGGATACAAGACCAAGACAAATTAAAAATAAACACATTATTAAAAAAAATTAGAGACCAAAGCGAACAATTATGGACGAACATTATAAATAAACAATAAATAAATAGTAAAATGCAGAGTTGTTTTCATTTTGTTTTAGGATATCAGTTAATAAAAAATTCAACAACTCAAACCAGAATAAAACTCAGCATAGAACGGGCCACACGGCTAGCATCGACAGTTCTATGCCCCAAAACTAGTATTAACAAAAAGAGAAGGCAGAAAAGATCGTATAATTTTTAAGTTTTATTTATATCGCCAGCAACCTTTATTCTGGTGAAAGATCAATTTTATAAACCCTAAGGGATCATACTTTATTGCTAGTAAAGTAAGCATCTGTGATCCACACCTGGAGCGACCTTTATTCGGATAAGAGATCCAGTAGTCATACATATAAAATCCACACCTGGAGCAACCTTTATTCTGGTGAAAGATCAAGTAGTCATACATATTAAATCTACATCACAAGCCAAACGGCGAATCCACTCTCAAAATGCAGAAAACAGAATAATATCCTGAAACAAAGTTGAAAAGAACACAAGCTAAAGATGCCAAGTTCTATATGATATCCAACTTGCTACCGTGCGAGAAGTCTAAACTAGGTATAGCAATTAGCTTGCTGCTGCTTAGAAACCATGAATCTTGATATTTTCCTTCTTCACAATGCCAGCCTGTTCACAGATTAGCAAAAGAAAATGTTTCATTCATGGCTCCTAAATATGCAAATTACTTCATCAAAGACAAGATCAAGAGGTGTTTATTACCTGCACGAGGAAGGTGGAAACGTTCTTCCTTTGATCACCCTGAAGTTGAATGACCTGCAGACATGCACAAAAAGCAGTGTTCAGACCATGAATTATTTCTGGCTGAAAGACGTTTATTATATCCAAACCAGGCTTATGCACAAGTGCACTGGTATTTAGTGCAAGCACAAGACGTACACATTAACGGTTACACACATCCTTACAGACAAACTCACTTCAAGTTGGCACACCTTACCAGCTACCAATTGAATGCACTAGTAAAGACTCTATTGTCAATAAAATTCCTAATGTCTGAACATATGCGGTGTTTCTCTATACCATGTAAGAGTTCATTCTCTGGATCAATCTATATATCAAACCAACTTGAAGAGAATAATGATGGAAGTTTCTAAGTGGCTTAAGGGGAACAGATAAGTAGAAAATAGATCCCTTACCGATGCAGAGAGAGAATAATCTAGGGAATAGAGGTTATAGGCAAGAAAAGGAAACATGAGTGAGGCAGAGACGAGCTACCAACATGCAATGGATCTTTGCACAGGGGCCATGATGCATTGAGTAATGGAGAATCTAACACCCACCCATAATATCAAAAAGAGCTAGCTTCACAAGAGCTTATTTCCGAAGAAGATGTTCCAAATAATACACACATCATTTATGAAACATTTTAAATTCCAAAAGAGCTGAGAAATGCATGTAACAGCTGGCAACTGCATGTAACCAACTCTTGTTTGCAACAGCAGACTATGCACAAATTTATTATACTACCTCCGAAGGAAATTCAGCAACAACATAAATAGAAACAAACCTGGCCTAACTCAGGGTCCTGGACAACAGTTCCATTGCAGCAGAACTCTTTCTTGAGGTCCTTGAGTATCTTGTTGTAGCTAAATTCCTTCTTCAACCCTTGAACAGTGGTCAGGCTTTTCCTCCCATTTCGCTGCTGTACACGCACATGAACATAATCTTTTGCCCCAGCACCAGAGTCATCAGCATTTGCCTCAGCGAAGGGATCTATTTCATCCAACGAAGAAACATTATTAGCATGAACTTGTAATTTCATCAGAAAGCTAAACACGTATTAATCCAACAAACGAAGCATACCAAAAGTAGTTGAAATTGCGTTGTCGAATTCAGACATGAAAGAAAGATTCTGGGAGTTGAAAGTGAAACCAACAAACGATTCTTTTGATATTATTCAAATTTCTCTGAGCTGAAAAAATATAGTAGAAAACAAAATTAATCAAAAACCCGAAAATCATACATTAAACTGGTCAATACAAGCATTGAAGTATTTAGAGAGCTTTACTATCCAATCATCAGTTCCAAATTCACATTTACAACAAACCAAGCAACAAGAAAGCAAAATCCTTGGATGTATCGAAGTAATCTTGAAATATTTTAACTATACATTAAAATGAGAGTAATAAATTTTATCATTCATTCTGAAACAAACACCAACCCTAAAACAAATTGGTACGGTTAAATCTCACTGATCCGAACATACCTTTTCCTGTCGACTGATCAACAAACATATTTAAGTACTGGTTTGACAGTACCACTACAGGCAGTTTTAATGGTCTCCTAATTCCATCACCTACCGAGACACGAGGAATTTCTGCCATACCAGTCCCTCAAGCCGCTGAGTAAAAAGTCTCTAGTTTCATAATTTTCTCTATCAAAACACTCCATAAAACCAAAATTTTAAAATCACTTAAAAAGTTTCAAACTTTTCCTCAAATAAAATCATCACTGACATTATATATAAAAAAAAAATTATAACCAATTGGTTGATTCCAGGAATTGTGTTATAACAGCCAACAAATAATAAAAACAAGAAAACAAAAAATAAATAAACTGGAAGCACACAACATAAACAGCAAATAAATAAATAAATCCCAAACCTAGATTCTAAAAATTAAAATTTCTCAGTCAGTAGAAAAGATCAAACTTAGATATGTAATTACATATTCAGCTTCTTAAAAAACAATTATTCATCAGTCTAAACCTTACATCATTTTATCTAATCCTTATCAAACAAACAGACAATCATACTCATCATCTTTAATTAAAAAAAAAATACTTCACCACCATGCAGAAATATATACCAAGATTATTAAAAATTATATATTTTTTCGAAAAAACCAACCAAAAATAATCACGAACAAAATTAAAAAAACGAGAACCCATCATGAACGAAAAAAAAAAAAATCAAACAAAACAAGGTTATCCCAATTACCAAACAATCAAGAAAAAAAAAACATCATCAAAGAAAACAAGCTAAAAGAGACTCTGAATTATTACCTGACAGAAAGATTGAGAACCAAAGCAAGAGATCACGAGAAAGATAGAGAAGAAATTTGGGTTTCTTTCTCTGGCGATTACGATGATTATATAAAGCTGAGAGACAAGATTTATCGGCCACACAAACTTCTCTGGGTCGGAATCTATATAAAGGAAACTGGGGGATTTTCTTGATACCGTACGTCTTCAGTTTAAGACTTTAAAGTTCTCGGTTTGTAAGTCATTGTCGGTTTTTTTCTACGGTTCAGATTTGAGTGTCTAGAATTTAACGGTGATGATGCTGTGGGTCATGTTTGTTTTGCTTGGTCGGCTGTATCTACGGTTGAGATTATTGGGTTCTAGACTTTAACGGTGTTGATGTTTGTAGAGCACGTGGGTTGGGATTGTCATTTCACAGAGGTGCTGATTCCTATCCCAATGCCTAGCCTTTTTCTTTTCGGTGGGAAAGGGCTGGAGGCCCAGATAAAATTGAAAAGACATGCCACCTAAATATCCTAATGAACCCATGGATTAGCCCATGAATAAATATGGTTAAAAACAATAATAACTGCATGTGTGAGAAAATTGCAACTAATTATTAGGGGAAAAACCTTATTTTGAAACCTTTTTTTTATCTCAAATCCATAAATTAAATCCTATATAAACAATTTGAAAATTTTGATAATGTGTTCGTTATATTTAGACTATCTGATCCAAATGCTTTCAGTTTTTAACAAAAACCTAAAAATTAGGTTTATGTAGGAGAATATATTTATGGAATGACGAAACTAAATTAAAAATTTAGGTTTATTCGCTTTCTATTTTTCTTAAATATATAGAGTGTAGGATTGTGAGAGAGTCATGTACAGATCTCACATCAGTTTTATTCGTTAAAAAGAAAAAAAATTGTTAATAATTTTATTTTTTTTAATTAGGGTAGGGTATTTTGGTCAAAATTGGGTGTCATATGGCTAATATATTTTACATCAGTAATTTTATTTTATTTTTATTATTTTTATTATTTTTAAGAATTGAGAGCAAATGGATCAAATTGTCTAAACCTAGTAAATATCGGGTCAGATTTGTTATTTACATAAAATTTAATTTTTCGATTAATGCAAGCATTGGTGGGTTTTTCCAATTATTAGGGTTATGAATTATTTAGTATATTGGACTTGTGCTCTTGCTCTCGCATGAAAATGAAGCCTACATATAATAATGCATAATGAATCTCATATTTTTGTGGAAGAAAAAAAAAGAATTCTAAATGTACTTAAATCATAAATTTTGATTATTTTACAAAATACCTATTACTTTAGGACATCAAGTTGTTTGTTTATTTAGTGTTAGGAGCTTTGGACTTCCAATGCAAGATTTAAGATAAATTCCTAAATATTACCAAGAGATTGATATATATATATATATATATCTTTTTTAGTGTTTTTTTTTCTCTTTTAAGTAGCACTAATGTTCTTGAGAAAACCCTAAGGGGCCATAGGCCCAAACGAACATGCTACAGTCTCAATTGTAGAGGCCTGAAAACAACTAAGCTAAGAACGCTTGAAACACCGTTTCAGACTTTTCAACTAGCAGGACCCATGGTGTAATCACTGCAACATTGTCTTTGTTGCTTCATAGTTCCTTGACTGATTAATTTCTAGCTACTCAGTAAGTTCCAACAAATTTCAATTAGAATATGCAAACTTGATTCAATTGTATGCAAAAAAACCATGACCCACAGCATCAGCACCGTTAAATTCTAGACACTCAAATCTGAACCGTAGAAAAAAACCGACAATGACTTAAAAAACGAGAACTTTAAGGTCTTAAACTGAAGACGTACGGTATCAAGAAAATCCTCCAGTTTCCTTTATATACATTCCGACCCAGAGAAGTTTGTGTGGCCAATAAATCTTGTCTCTCAGCTTTATATAATCATCGTAATCGCCAGAGAAAGAAACCCAAATTTCTTCTCTATCTTTCTCGTGATTTCTTGCTTTGGTTCTCAATCTTTCTGTCAGGTAATAATTCAGAGTCTCTTTTAGCTTGTTTTCTTTGATGATGTTTTTTTTCTTGATTGTTTGGTAATTGGGATAATCTTGTTTTGTTTGATTTTTTTTTTGTCGTTCATGATGGGTTCTCGTTTTTTTAATTTTGTTCGTGATTATTTTTGATTGGTTTTATGGAGTGTTTTGATAGATAAAATTATGAAACTAGAGACTTTTTACTCAGCGGCTTGAGGGACTGGTATGGCAGAAATTCCTAGTGTCTCGGTAGGTGATGGAATTAGGAGACCATTAAAACTGCCTGTAGTGGTACTGTCAAACCAGTACTTAAATATGTTTGTTGATCAGTTGACAGGAAAAGGTATGTTCGGATCAGTGAGATTTAACCGTACCAATTTGTTTTAGGGTTGGTGTTTGTTTCAGAATGAATGATAAAATTTATTACTCTCATTTTAATGTATAGTTAAAATATTTCAAGATTACTTCGATACATCCAAGGATTTTGCTTTCTTGTTGCTTTGTTTGTTGTAAATGTGAATTTGGAACTGATGATTGGATAATAAAGCTCTCTAAATACTTCAATGCTTGTATTGACCAGTTTAATGTATGATTTTCGGGTTTTTGATTAATTTTGTTTTCTACTATATTTTTTCAGCTCAGAGAAATTTGAATAACATCAAAAGAATCGTTTGTTGGTTTCACTTTCAACTCCCAGAATCTTTCTTTCATGTCTGAATTCGACAACGCAATTTCAACTACTTTTGGTATGTTTCGTTTGTTGGATTAATACGTGTTTAGCTTTCTTCTATCTTGGTATTGCCATTTCTTGATTTTTTTAGTTTACCAAAGTTCTCCCCTTTTCTGTGAATTTTGGGTTTTCTTCTATCTGCTGGGTTATTTGGCTTGTTTTGAGATTTGGGGTGTTTCAGTTATGTCTGCATCATCAGCTTTGATGATCTTATTTGGGTTTTAGTTGTATGCTCACCTAGTGTTTGATGAAATGTTCTTTTTTTTTTTTTTTTTTTTTGGTTGAGGCAGTTTAGAAATGGCTTTGAGAAAGAAGCTATGGGATAGTCTTGTGGGAGAATTCAGTAATAGCTATGTTATGCATTCGAGATTTTATAGTTCAAAAGTGGACTTTCGGAAGCTAAGGCCTATGATACTGAAGAGGATTCAAAATCGTGCCAAGGATTATCCGGTGAAAGGAATGGTGCCAGTTGCCAGAGAGGTTCTTCAATTTAGAAAGGTTCTTATTCAAGGAGTTTCCACTCTTATGCAAGTTTTTCCGGTCTTGGCTTGCAAGTGAGTTGCTAAAATTTGATGCAAATTTTGGATTTATTGGTGTATTTAAGGTCAAAAGAATGGTAGTTTTGTCTTCCTTAATCACGGAATGTTCTTGTTTATCCAAATTCATTTCTTCTTGATTGAATTGATTGAAAGGGATTCCTATAGTTCCAATAAACAAGGTAAATAGTACCAAAACAAGCATCGGAAATAATATAGTGTTATTCGATTCCTGGAGATAGGAAAAATTCTTTTAGTACCAAAATGATTAATAGTAATAAAAGGACACATCATCTTTCTTACAGTACCGTCAGTTAGATATGTTTTCTTCCAAAAAAAAAAAAAAAAAGAAGCCCTTCCATTATTATTTACTGTTAATAAAGGTAATAAACGATTTTTTTTAAAGCATGTTTTATCCCTATTTACCTCAATATCTTGATTTGTGTGCTATTATGATTGAGGAAAATTGTGTTTGTTAGGTTCTGTCCTGAAGTGTATATTGGTGAGAAGGGTCATTTGATTCAGACTTGTTATGGTTTCAAGCGTTGTGGTAGGAATCGGGTTCATGAATGGATTCCTGGGGGTTTAAATGATATATTGGTGCCAGTAGAGACATTTCGCTTAGATAAGATGTTCCAAGATGTTATTAAACATGACCAAAGGTTTGATTTTGATCGTGTTCCTGCAGTTGTGGAGTTATGCAGGCAGGCAGGTGCTGATATAGATGACGAGAATCTCCACCCTGGCATGTTGAATTCGGACTCTGGGGTTGGTCATATTAATGGAGTTGAGCCTTTGTCTCCTAGGCGTTTGATGTATATAGCCAAAGACACTCTTGATGCGTGGGAGAAGCTTAGATCAGGCGTGCAAAGGTTGTTGTTGGTTTATCCATCCAAAGTTTGTAAGTATTGTTCAGAAGTTCATATTGGGCCATCTGGACACAAGGCTCGGCTTTGTGGTGTATTTAAGTTTCAGAGTTGGCGTGGGAATCACTTCTGGAAGAAGGCAGAAGTAGATGACTTGGTGCCTAAAAAGATTGTTTGGCGGCGGCGGCCTCAAGATCCTCCTGTTCTTGTGAATGAAGGGCGAGATTTTTATGGACATGCACCGGCAGTGGTGGATCTATGCACAAAGACTGGTGTTGTGGCACCAACATATTCTTGCATGATGAAAAGTCAGGGTTTATCAGCACCTGTTCAAGATGAACTTTGAAGATGTATTTTGATTGAATCTGAAGTGGAGTCGGCATAAAGATATTTGTTCTGATGGTATACGAGCCTCTGTATCTCGTATTGCTCCTCATAGTTGAGGTCTGAACCTGAAGAATTCGTGGCTGAGGTGCTTGACGGACTGGCTTGTATGTCTCTGATGTTTATGCTTTCTCTTGAAAGATTACCGATTGGGAAATGTAGTGGAAGAATCAAGGACTTGCCCAGTTCCAGCAATTTCGCCAAGTGAAGGTAACAAAATCAAATAAAGAAAGCAGCATTTGGAAAGTTGAAATTTTTATTGCAATCGCTGATCTCATCCTCGAATGAAATTCACTTTTCCTGTAATATATCTCAGATTTAATTGATTCATCTTTTACATAAAGTCATTCATTTGCCGGCTATAGCACACGCAAGTTATTATTTGCAATTTTATCTAGAACTTGCAACATTGACAGCTTACTATAGTAAAAAGTAAAATCATAAGGGTCTGGATGCTTATATTGTGCTTATGGTAATAATCTCATATGGATTGAGTGATACCAAAATGGATTGGAATGTTAGTAACTCAAAATTTCAGTATTGGATAACAAACGTTATGGAGGGAGGAAACATATGCTGGAAAGCTAGAAATAGTATTTGTTTCTATCAAAATTAAGGGTTCGGCTAACTCGTGTCCTTAGTACAATTTTTCATATGTTTAGAAGTTAGTTATTAGTAGTTAATGCTCGCGGTTAGCTGACTCACTCCCCTTAAATTTAAGATTGGTGTAAAGATGTAAGAGATTTTTATTTTATTTTTATTTTAAATATTTAAATGGATATCATACTATACCTGCTCGTTATGACATGAATAATATGATATTCCTATAGAATTTTATAGATGCATGTAATGCTACCTCATTAGTAATTTGTCCAAAATCGATTGTTAAAGAAAATGCATAATGAATCTGCCTATATATAGGGTTAGAGGTCTAGGGTATTCTTTGTCTTAATTGTGTTCCTTTACTAAATTTTTCAATAATTACGTCCTTCTATGCTTAATTTGCATTTGAATTTTGTCCCTCTATCCAAATTTTTTAGACAATGGCGACAATTTTCAACTTAAAACTAACAAGACGCTACACGTGGCATTAAATTTTTCAAAAAAAAAAAAAAATCCAAAAAATCTCATTATTTTTTTCTCTACCCTTAAGCATAGAAAGAAATAATTAACTTGACCCATCAATTTTTTTTTTTTTGCAAAAAAGAATTTTTTTTATTAATTGGAAGGAATAGAAGCAAATATATATATATATTTATTTGGGTTTGGATTTGAAAGAAATTTTCATAATAAATTTTTGAAAAAAAAAATTGCTTCTATTCCTTCCTATTCATAAAAAATTTTATTTTGTTGTTTAAATTTGAGAGAATCAAATCACAAGGAGACTATTGTATGAATTGATTTTGTATTCTTACGCATATAGTCTCTCTCTTGTACTTGTGTGTGTGTATATATATATATATATATATTTGAGTTACAAAGATATATATTACAAAACAATAATAGATAATATAGTCAATGGAAGGTATCTGTAAAGTAACAATTCAAGAATAGTCTAAACTCTATCCTAAAGTCTGTTAAGGAGAGTTTGATGTGGAGTGAAGTGGTTGTAGTTGGTGTCGTTGTCCATGTGTAACACTTGATGGGAAGGAAGTTGTAATTGCCCGAGAGTGTTGCTATGTTGATAGAGAGAAAGCAAAATAAAATAAAATAAAAAAATAAACAAAAAATAAATAAATTGAGGGGTGAAATTAATTATTTATTTCTATACATAAAGGTCGAGAAAAAAAGAGATTTTTGAGATTTTTTTTTAAATTTTTTTCAGATTTTTTGGGATTTTTTATTATTTTTTTTTTTGAAAAATCTAATGTCATGTATCGGTATCCTATCAGTCTTAAGTCGAAAATTATCGTTATTGCCTGAAAAATTAGACAGAGAAATAAAATTCAGATACTAATTAAGAGTAAAGGGATGCGATTATTGAAAATTTTAGTAGAAGGAATTGACTAAAACAAATAAAATAGTATAAGAATATGTTTGGCCTTTAACTCCTACATATATATATATGCAGGAAAAACAAAATAAAACAAAATTGTGGAAATTTTGGGACATTGAAATCATAGGGGATTCTGCATGCAGACAAGATATTAGTTAGTTAATATGCTTAGGCAACTATTAAAATTTTTATCATAAGGGAAATCTAGGGTAATCGAAACTGCAATTATAGAATTAATTATGAGAGGAACCAGTAATTTTGCCCGATGGGCGTTTTAAACAGGTGATAATCCATGGAAAATAAAAAGAAAGAATGATTCCATTTCGAATCCTACCTTTTTACATTAAGAGATATATATATATATATATATATATATATGGGCTTGCCATGTACTTTCAAGATTCAAAGTCATAACATAAGAATGCTACAAACGAACTAACGAGAAAGCAGCGAAGGGGAACGCATTTCATGTAATACATTGTTGTCTAGGTCTCTATCTCTATTTCTCTCCGACTGATCAGAAACGAACAAAAACCTTTTGGCTTTACAATGAAAGTGGTAGTGGAGATTTTGACAGGTACCCTCTTCTACATTCAACTGGACAACGGTGCCACAGTTGCTGATCTCAAACGAGAGATTGAGGCACAGCAAAAGCTGCCTCAAGATCGTCTTATCATGTTTCTCGATAGCAATCGAAGCCATCTGATAAATGACGATGGAGATGGAGCATCTCTAGTTGATTGTGGGATTCAAGATGGATCTCACATCTACCTTTTCTTCGATCCGCCTCATGATGAATCTCCTCATCATTTTGTCTTCACTTGGCCTGATTCTTTCTTGGAGTAGCCATATCCTCGTTTTCGCAATCCAACTTCGAAAAAAGAGATTTAAACCTGCCATGGTACTATTGTTATTTATGGTTAAGTTGATGAAAGAAAATGCTTCCATGGACACGAAGGACAGCTGTGTACATTTCTACCAGCCCAGAAATCAAATTTTTTGTTTTTATTTATTCATTTATTAGAGAAATCTGAAATTAATTGATAGTCCTTTTATATTTTGAACATGGACAGTGCAGTGCTTCATTTCATTACTGCAAAACAAAGGTCCCCTTTTCTTTCTTTCTTTCTTATTCCTGTCATTTCATACTAGATTATTATTGAAGCATGTACAAATAATGATTTAGAAATATAATTAATCACATTTTCAATATTCATGATGTCAAAATTATGCTGATGGAGGAAAGTATGTTTAATTTATAGACAATCAAATAATGGAAAACATGAGCACTTTTAATGTTCCCATTGATTCATTCTTGTTAATTAGTTAAGTATCAACTAGCATACTACTTTAATGTTACAGAAAGTAAATCTAAGTGAATAGTGCATATGAGTATGAATGAATAATGTTTAGAATAATGGAATGAATAATAAACTTATGTTTTTTTTTTTTTAATGAATAGAAAAACAACAATGTAAATAATAATGGTGTATTTGATCTTCAAATGCAACACCCCCATATTCAATGGCTGCCCCTACACCAAAATATTTTGTCTGCGAGAGAAAACTATATATTTAACAATTAAAAAAATCTATGCGTAAAATAAAAATTAATTAACATTAATTATGGGAATTTATTTAATTTAATATGTATTATTTTATATTTAATAAAATATTTATATTTCATAATTGAGTTGAAAATATCTTATGACTATGATTGATTTTGATCAATAAAAAAAGAAAAAGAAAAAGAAAAAGAAAGTAAACATGCTATTAATTAATTGTTTTTAAAAAAATTCAGATTAGAAGAGAGTGCTAAATCAATTTATATTAGAAGAGTTTTTAATTTTGATTAATAAATCTATAAAAAAATAAAAAATAGTTATTTTGAGCAAATAATAAATAATGAAAAAAATAAAAGCCTAAAAAAGGCTGGGTTGGGCTGCGAAACACCGCCCAGTAAAAAAAACCAGGGATCTTGTTGTAACAAAAATTAAGATTAGGGACCATTTTTAACAAATCAGAACGCAAAGGACTAAAGTTTCTTCGAACCCATCCTATATGAACATGTTGAATATTAGGGTTGAGATGTAAAATTTCTGGGGACATAAAACTGTCCTTATTATGGAAGCTCGAAGCTGAGACCTCTTACGAGAAGTTAATCAGACAGGGATTGTGTGCCAATAACTGCCATTGAAGGCCTGATTGTGTTGATTATCGTACCATTTCTCCTCTTCACCTGTATTTATGAAGTAATATTTCCTTGTTCAGCTTTCATGGCATGCCATCAAGCCTATTACCTACCACCATATACATGGTGAATTGTCTAAAAATAAAAAATTGCTGGAGAAAATGATCATAAATCTTCCTAGCTTCTCAATTATTTTTAATCCTAAATGCATATGTGTTTGGTTATTAATATTAAGATTTAACAAAAACAACACTCGAACTTGAAACTTTTATCTCATTGTGATTTATGATTGTAAGCATCATCATTGTTGTTGTTGTTTTTTTTTTTTTTTTTTTAATGAAAATTGAGATTAGATTAATTTAATAAGAAGATTGTCGGCTAGTAGCTTGTAAGATTACAAAGATGAGATCTATAAGTAAAAACAATAAAAATTCTATGAGAAAATAAAAATTATATCTGTTTATTTTTTTCATAATATTTATAAAGATTATTTCTGATTAAAATATCTATCATTGTAAATACGAAGATAGCTAGCTAATAGCATGCAATATTATAAAGATGAGATCTATAAGTAAACACAATAAAAATTCTATGAGAAAATAAAAATTATATCTGTGTATTTTATTCATAATGTCTATGAAGATTGTTTCTGACTAACATATTTGTTATTGTATTTTTTTCACGAAAAATATGATTTAATGAAATGAAACCCAACGATTTGAGCGTCACCAGTTTAAAAGCACATTGATTAGAATATTTATAAATTCTCACATAATTAATAACAAATTCCGTTTTAGATTTCACAAGATTTCTATTGTGATGAAACTTACTGAATTTGTATTTTGTAGCATGCTTAATTCTATATTCAGAATCCCATACGATTTGTAGTCATAACATGGCACAAATTTTGCTTCCTTGCATGCATATAAAAAGGCATGTCATATTTCATTCAAACTCATAGCATAAGCATGCTAAATAGTACAAACTAACTTTGTGACAATGCAGCAAACGTGAACACCTTTCATGTAATAATACAAGGTTGCCTAGCTAGTTCTCTTTGATCTCTCCATTTTTTTTCTCTCTTGAATGGGACTAAGTAGTCAGAAATAAGCAGAAAGCTTTGGCTTTTACAATGAGGGTGGTGGTGGAGATTTTGACAGGAACCCTTTTCTATGTTCAAGTGGGCAATGATGCCACTGTTGCTGATCTTAAGAAGGAGATTGAGGTCCAGCAAAAACTACCTCAAGATCGTTTGATCCTGTTTCTCAGTAACAAACAAAGTCATTTGTTAAATGAAGAAGCAGATGCGGCATCATTAGTTGATTGTGGGGTTGAAGATGGATCTCATATCTACCTCTTCTTCGATCCGCTTGATCATGATGATGATGAATCTACTGATCATTTGGTTTTCACCTGGCCTCATTCTTTCTTAGAGCAGGCATAGTTTCCGAAATTCGGTGTTGAAAAGGAGATGAAATTTTCCATAGTCTTGTATGTTTTTGGTCAAGTAGATGAAAGAAAAAACTAAACAGCAAATAGCATAAGAGTTTGAAGCAAACTATTAATAAAGCAATAAAATTTTACATGGGTTTTATTTCCTATAGAAATCTGAATTTTTATAGTATTCCTTTCATATGCTGAGATGTTCTTGAGAATCACCTTCTTTTTTTCCCTTCAATTCCCATTCCTGTTATTTTACTCCTAACAACCAAATAGGGCTGATATTAAATTTCCTTCATTAGCTATATCATCTAATTGTTATTGAATCTCATGCAAATCATGACATTGAATTTTCACAATATGCTTATTAATGGTCAAGATTATGTTGATAAAGAGAGAATTCTCCATTAATATATTATATATATATATATATATATATTATTTCTGAATATTTGAAGTAAAAAGAACATCAAACATTTGAAAAACATGAACTCAGAACATCAAATAATTACACATACACATGAACTTTTAAAATTAAAAAAGAAACAGACAATAATATTAATTTGTTGCATGATGATTATATATGCAACAGAATGATAACTAATCATGCATCATGTTCTGTTTCAACCCAACCAAAACTGAATAACGTTCACAGTAGTATCAGCAAAATGTTGTGTTGTGAGACTGATAGGGATGGAGGCCTGCACTATAGTGCACTATGCACACCGAGGTCTCACTATCGTTACCGAACCATATAAAATCTTTATATTGTGTGATTGTTTTTGTCTTTCTACTTTATTTTCTTGTAGAATTCGTTTCCTAACACAAAAACCATAATCTTCTTGTATGATTTGAACTGAAAACTGATGCACGGCAGGCAGACGAAATCTTTAGATATGTCTCTTCTGTTGGTAACTGCACTCAGTTGACACAAACTTCCTATGTCCCAAAGGTTATATATAATTAACAAACTGAATTAATAATTATATCATATTTATAGAACATCTTTTCGCTGTGAGATTTTGCATTTACCAGACCATGATAGCAACTTTAGTTACTAACTTAGATGCTAAAAAAGAATAGAATTCAAACAACATTCAGATTTTGTGGTAATAAATATTGTGGGGGACAGTCCTCACGTTGTAGTACACTAACTAGACCAAAGAAAATAAGAAACCTCTACTTGGGATTTTTTTTCAAACATGGACTTAATCTGCAATCATAATTGCAGAACTTCTAGCGACTTACTGTTCCCTTGAACACATAGAGGGAATCGCCATTATCAACACCATGCCACCTGAGGCTACAATGGTCGCGCATGATCCTTTGCTTGTGTATGAACAGATAATCATCTTGAGGGAGAATTTTTCTGCTCAAAAGAAGCTGCCTCATGTCATTAACAGTACACGAGTCCTTCATTTCCAAAGGAATGCATGCTGCATTAAGCAAACAAGATGAAGTTTGCACCACTATACTTAGCTTTCTAGTGGGAGGCTCATCCCTTATTCGAGTCATGGTTTTGAGGAACACAACAATCTCAGAGAATTCGTGTATTCCGTACTCATTCAGATTGCGAAAATCTTCATCAAGTTCCACCCCAGAAAAGAAAAGAGACATCCTTTTGATTGGTGTGCCATCAACAATGTGAATTTTTTCTTTTAGGCTAAGCACCGTATCTGTTCTGTCAATCTCTATATTAATCTGTCTAGCTGAGAATTTTACTAGGATTTGGATCTTACTACGGTAGCTGTTAAATGCTGGCATCATAGGTTTGATGGTGAGGTCAATTCTTGTGCCATCAATGACAATGGGATAATCTTCCATGTCTAATCCATCCACCAACTCCCAACCTGATACAGCAAGAATTTGTGTAGCCACAGGCACACCTATGAGTTGTTGAATCTCTCTTTTGATCACATTAACAGTATCTTTCAAACCAACTTCTAAGAGAAATTCATGTGCCCCAGCAACAATTATGACCATCATCTTGTTACAGCTGAAATGAAGCCTCCTGGTTAGCTTTGATTTCTTTTTCTGCAGCAAGAATTAATGTTGGATGGCTGCAGAGCTTTTTCAAGTTCATAAATGAGGAGTAAATAGTTCTAAAACTCACGTTAGAAGAATGAGAAATACTATTTGTATGGTTTTGTTCTCCTGGAAACATTTTGTATATGGTCCTAAGGCATGGATTCATGCAACTTGTATTCCTGCAACAGAACAAGCAAGCAAATATGCCTCTCTCATATACACACAGAAATGAACTGCTAATTGTGTTTTTCATGTCTTTTAGTCATGCCTCAAACCAAAACCTTTGAAACTACTGTTGATTTTAAAAGGTGGTCTGAAAGGACTTGGGTTGTTATAATTAGCGCGCTCATTCGCAAATCGCAATCAAATTAACAAACCGATCATCATCTAAAAACATCAACTGAAGTTTTTTCTGTTTTACTTGTTAATGGGGCCATTTTTATATACAAAAAAGATCTTCCTCCAATGTATCCTACAGCTGCCTCTAATATTTCCGTCAGCCTTGGAAAAAGGAAAAAGGTCTTCCTCAGCTTCAAAAAGGGCGAGATTGCGAGAAGCCTTAACTATATTTCTATACACTGTAAAATTAACTTGCAGTTCTTTTTGACGGTGAATTCTGCTTTATCATCTACACATGCATGACATGCAGAGAAACAGAACGAAAACATTATTTTATTCTGTCTTCAAACGCCAATATAAGCTATTGACTTGACCAAGGAATCTAAAAATGGTTCAGGCCAGCCCTTATTTACCTCATCCAGTTTCATCAAAACTAGACTCCAATGATCTACATTATCATAGAAATAATACAAGTACTTCATCTTGTAAAGAACTGTCTATTTGATGATGCAATCTTACTTGAATGGGTATTTTTTTTGTTTAGAAATGGCAATTGTTTGATCTCTAACAACCCTGGAATCATTGACTTTACCAATTAAACTCAAGGTCAAGAAGGTACAGAACTGAAGAATTAGTCATGGCTAAGTTCACATTGCAGAATGTCGCGTACAGTTTCCGTAAACCTTGCATTTTAGCCAATCTCTTACTCCAGGTCATTTATGCTCTTTTAGTGCTGTTACAGTTCTCCACCAACATTTAGACCTTTATAACATTTTGTTTTGTGATCAGGTCTTTGTGTTCAGCAACTTGTTATTACAATATGAGGATAACACAACAATATTATAATCTACGTTAGATTGAAATGTAAATTGTTTTTCGTGGCTGGCCCAATGGGAGAATTTAATGCAAGCTGGCTATTCAATTTGAGGAATTAATTACGTGCAATCTAAGATTCTGTCAGCTTACACGTTTTTTAGGCTTGTTATGATATGAGGTCAACTCAATCCAAAAGAAGAGATATATGCACACTCTGGTTGGTTCAAACTATGCCTCATATGCCAATGAGTTGTGGCTCGACCAGCATTAGTGTCCTAGGTCTCCAGTTAGAACCTCTTCTTCGTAACTCAAAAAAAAAAAAAAAAAAAAAAAAAAAAATCCCAATATTCTATATTGCACAAATCAAAGAGCTGAAGCAATAAACAATTGACAATCAGAAATCCTTTTTTGTGGAAAATATTCACAAGTCAGCTCTTAAACTCTTGACTTTATCATATCAACAACAAGAATTCTGAACTAATCAAACGAAAGTTTGTGCAAAGACACTGTCAAAGGCCTCACTGAAATATAAGAGGCCAGCAGACTTGAGTTCCAAACCATCTCAGACTAAACAACAACTTCAAAGCTTCTGTTCAAAGACAATGGCTATCAAAAAGCTTTTTTCATTCCTCTTTCTTCAACTGGCTCTTGCTTTTTTACTTGTAGATCTCACTAATGCAGGGGGATTGCAACTCGGGTTCTACAGAAAATCGTGTCCTGATCTAGACCTTATTGTCCATAAGACTGTTTACAAATACATTTCTAGGGACCGAACCCTTGCCGCACCGATACTAAGAATGTATTTCCATGATTGTTTCATCAGGGTACGTAAGCTCTTAAGCTACGGTATATATTATGCATTTTGTATAGTTTGGAAATATATTATCGTTTTATTAATTATATAAATGTTATCTTGCCGTTTAATTGAGCACACATAGAGCAATATCCAGCATTTCCATATTTCATATCCTAACAAGTTCTGGTTTCAGGGATGTGATGGTTCTGTACTCCTAAGTTCTACGAAGAAGAATCAAGCTGAGAAAGACGCGGTCCCAAACAAAAGCTTAAGAGGGTTCAATGTCATTGATGCTGTAAAATCTGCACTAGAAAAGAAGTGTCCAGGTGTGGTTTCCTGTGCCGATATCTTGGCCTTGGTGGCTCGAGACGCAGTTCTAATGGTATCATATTCTCAAAAAACACAACTTTGTCACCACTAATTAACTGCACCATTATGCCTATGCTTATTGATCTTTTTTTCGTTCAGATGGGCGGACCACATTGGGATGTTCCCACCGGACGCAGAGATGGAAGAGTGTCAATTGCCACAGAGGCTTTGTTCAATCTACCACCTCCTTTCGCCAACATAACTGTCCTGAAACAACAATTTGCTGCAAGGGGTTTAAGTGTCAAAGATCTCGCAGTTCTATCAGGTACATAGATTTTCAAAACAAAAGTACATCTTTCAAGCAACATCGATCCCAATATTTTGACTTGGAATATTTTTTGGTTACAGGAGGACACACCATTGGAATTGGACATTGTACTGTAATCTCGGACCGGCTGTACAATTTCACTGGCAAAGGCGACACTGACCCTTCATTGGACCCTAGATATGCTGCTCAATTGAAGCAAAAATGCAAGCCTGGAATCACCAACAAAATTGTTGAGATGGACCCGGGAAGCTTCAAATCTTTCGACGAAGATTACTACACTACTGTAGCTAAAAGAAGAGGGTTATTCCAATCGGATGCAGCTCTTCTTGATGATGCTGAAACAAGAGACTATGTCAATTTTCAGTCAAGGACACATGGATCCACTTTTGCACAAGATTTTTCTGAATCAATGGTGAAAATGGGTTACGTTGGGAGTCCTGACTGGCAAACAAGGCGAAATCAGGAAACATTGTGCTGTTGTGAATTAAATGGAATTTAATTTTATTTTACCATGGCTGAGTTGTTTGCAACAAAGTTGCATGTACATGTGTGATTATGTTCGTACCTGTCTTTTTTCCCCACATTTGCAACCTAATTGGTTGCTGGATGTACTTAATAATTTTGAGGTCTTGCCATTTATGATGTTCTGTGATTTTTTTTCAAATTTCTTCATATGAATATAAAACCATCCTTTGCCTTCATAATATTTGAATATCTACTACATTTTCTTCTGCTTTTCTGAATATGCCAGAAAAAAACAATCCTTGAAACATGTTCATATCTATGTTCAGAAAAATCCTACAACTGCAAGATCAATCAGCAAAGTTAGTAATTAGCGTGTTCTGTATATTTTTAGGCCATGATCATATGCTTGTCTGCACAGGCTGCACATACCAGCAGCGTATTCAACACCTCCACAGCATTTACAAAGCAAATTCAATGTAGAAGAACATTCTTTTATAGTACAACAAGATGACGCACAGGGCAGCTTGGTAGGATTTTAGGCCACGATTAGATGCATGTTCATATATATATATATATATATATATGAAGATCGATAAACTTAGATTAAAAGCCAGCAAGATAGTGGCAGGAAAAAAGGTTCAAACAAAGTTACAAAGGTTAGAGCCAAACTAGTAATTCCTCTTTCCTGCTAATACTATGCTTAGCTAGACTATTAGGCTTAGCTAGACTATTAGCTACAACATTCCTTATTTTTAACTCACAACAGAAGCAAAGCACCTAAATCCAGTCTAGTCAAATTCTTGATGCACATGGTAGTATGGTAGAAATCAATGTGGCTGCATTCGGATCAAATAACAACATAACGTACATGTTTAGCAGCCATACACGCCTTTAGGAATTGTTGAATCTTTCTTTTGGAATTTTGTAAACTAACTTCTGAGAAAATTTCATGCGCCTATGCCACAATGATATTGACCTTCATCTTGTTACAGCTGAAAAGAAGCCTACTAGTTGTAATTGTCATCATATAAACAACATCAATTTTGTTGGGATCATCAGTAGGCCTAATTTGTAACAAATTTCTTCCTCGTGGAAACTGGATGGCATCTGAACCTCATGTGTGAGAAAAAAAAAAGACACTATTGAACATCATGGTTTACCTAATCTGAGAAATCCCATAAAAGTGCAAGGAAAGTGAAAGGTACAGAAACAATAAGCTGTCCTTCTTCCTGTCTGATTTTCTGCGTTCTTCATCAACGAAGTCATCATATTCTGAGTTATTATTCAAGTTTCTCAAGGCCCAATATTCTCTTCGTGAGTTCCCTTTGTGACAAATGCATAAAGTGAATCCTGTTTATTACAGCTCAAGATCCTATTAGCGACCTTAAAATAAGTGGTAGTTGGTTCCTCCATAAAGCGACCGATAATACCAACACTATAGTGGATATCGAGTCTTGAACATATTAGAAATCTCAAGTTTCTAACTAGCTTTCGATACAAAGTTGGATCCACTTTTTCAGCTACATCAAACCTTGATAACTTGGCTCCACATTCAACCGGAGTAGAGATTGATTGACAATTTTCCATGTTGAACTCTTTCAAAATCTTCCTTGCATAATTGCTTTGAGAAACAAAAATGCCTTCATCAACTTGCTTCACTTCAATTCCAAGATAATAAGACATCAAACCCAAATCTGTCATCTCAAATTCAGCAACCATCTCCTTCTTGAATTCATCAAACATAGCTGAATTAGTACCTATAAATATCAAGTCATCAACATACAAGCACACAATCAACATATCACCATTCTCATTTTTCTTCACATAAAGGTCATATTTGTGTGGGCATTTAACAAATTTCTTCTAACCGAAATACCCATCAATGTGACTGTACCGAGCCCTTGGTGCTTGTTTCGAGCCGTACAAGGCCTTATTTAGCTTCAAAACTTTGTCTTCATCTCCTTTGACAACATAGCCGGGAGGTTGTTGCAAATATACCTCTTCTTCCAAATATCCATTCAAGAAGGTTGATTTGATGTCCATTTGATAAATTCTCTATTTATTTTGAGTCTGCGAATGCCATAATCAATCCGATGGTTTCTAACCGAGCAACTAGAGCAAAGACTTCTTCATAATCAACTCCATGTTGTTGATCGAAACCTTTGACAACGAGACGAGCTTTGAACTTTTCTACTTCTCCTCTTTCACTTTTCTTGATTTTGTAAATCCATCTAAAACTAATGGCTTGCTTGTTTGTTGGAAGCGTTGCTAATTCCCATGTTTTGTTCTTATGGATGGCATTCATTTCTTCATCCATAGCAATTCTCCACCTTTCCTCTTGAGCGAGCTTCTTCAAAATTAATTGGTTCAAAACCTACAAATGCATAATGCGCTGAGACACCGAACGAAAACATCCGTAGGAGCTTCATTCTGTTGTCTTCAAGGACTAATGCAAGTTACTGGTTTAACTGAGATAATAAAAGTTGGAGCAGAGTTAATTACCATGCATAGATTCTTCAAAACTAATCTCTGATATCAGAATTCCCTTAATTAGAAATAACACAAATACGAGTACAAGCCTACTACTTGTCGGAATATTAATTCTTAATTATTCTATGAGTATTAGTTTGGCACTACATACCAACACCTGGAATCAATGAGTTGGCCATTTACCCTCAAGACCAACAAGGTGGAGAAAATCAGAACCAGTCAAGGCTTTACAGTTTGCTTAAACCTTGCGTTCATATATAACATTATGTTTTTTTTATCAGTTCTTTTTGCTTAAGAACTTGTTGTTACAATATCCTGAATGATCACAGAAAAGTATCTATAATCTATGTGTGACTGACATGTGAAAAGTTTGTAAAGGGTAGCCAATGGGAGAATGTTTAATGCAAGTTGGGCTATTTAATTTGAATGATTAAGTGTAGCTAAGATTCTGTTAGCCAACACATTCTTTAGGGATGTTTAGGTCAACTCATTCTAAAAGTAAATTTTTCCATTTTGGGGATGCACTTGCTCACTTGTTTGCTAACGTGCAGTTCACAATAAAGTAACAAGAACTCAGATCCAGCAAAAAGACAAACAGAAAAAGAAAAAGCCTTCTTTGGCTGGGGGATTGGCATGCAAGTTTTTGATCTTGTTGATCCTTCCTTAATCCAATAGTGTAATAACGGATTACAGCATCAACCACAAGTACTTTTTTTTCTTCCAAGAACAAGTGGAAGCTTATTTGATAAAAATTACAAAAACTTAGGGCTAATGTATATTCTATAGAGCACAACTCAAAGAAGTGAAGCCATAACCAAATGGCAATAAGAAAGTCTTTTAATTTGACAAAAATATTGTAAGTCAGCTCTTACTTTCTTGATCTTATCATATCAACAAGAGGAATGAATAACTAATCAGATGACAGTTTGTGCAAAGACACTGTCAAAGGCTTAGCTTAACTATAAAAAGCCAGCAGACTTCTGCTCCAAACCATCCCAGCCTAAAGTACAACTTCAAAACTTCTCTCAAGGGAAAATGGCTATTCAAAAGTTATTCTCAGTCCTTTTTCTTCAACTGGCTCTTGCTTTTTTGCTTGCAGGCTTCACTAATGCAGGGGTTGCAACTCGGATTCTACCACAGAGCATGTCCTGATGCTGAGCTTATTGTCCATAAGACACTTTACCGATACATTTCGATGGACCGAACCCTTGCTGCTCCTTTACTAAGGATGCATTTCCATGATTGTTTCATCAGGGTAGGTTGTTAAGCTACACTGCTGTTCAATTTACACTCTTTTGGAATATATTATCTTATATCAGTTGTTTTAAATGTTACCTAACAAGTTCTGGTTCCAGGGATGTGATGGTTCTGTGCTCTTAAGTTCTACGAAGAAGAATCAAGCTGAGAAAGACGCGGTCCCAAACAAAAGCTTAAGAGGGTTCAATGTCATTGATGCTGTAAAATCTGCACTAGAAAAGAAGTGTCCAGGTGTGGTTTCCTGTGCCGATATCTTGGCCTTGGTGGCTCGAGACGCAGTTCTAATGGTATCATATTCTCATAAAACACAAATTTGTTACCACTAATTAACTGCACCACTATGCCTATGCTTATTGATCTTTTTTTTTCATTTAGATTGGCGGACCACATTGGGATGTTCCCACCGGACGCAGAGATGGAAGAGTGTCAATTGCCACAGAGGCTTTATTCAATCTACCACCTCCTTTCGCCAACATAACTGTCCTGAAACAACAATTTGCTGCAAAGGGTTTAAGTGTCAGAGACCTCGCAGTTCTATCAGGTACATAGATTTTCAAAACAAAAGTACATCTTTCAAGCAACATCGATCCCAATATTTTGACTTGGAATATTTTTTGGTTACAGGAGGACACACCATTGGAATTGGACATTGTACTGTAATCTCGGACCGGCTGTACAATTTCACTGGCAAAGGCGACACTGACCCTTCATTGGACCCTAGATATGCTGCTCAATTGAAGAAAAAATGCAAGCCTGGAACCACCAACACAATTATTGAGATGGACCCTGGAAGCTTCAAATCTTTCGACGAAGATTACTACACCATTGTAGCTAAAAGAAGAGGGCTATTCCAATCTGATGCGGCTCTTCTTGATGATTCTGAAACAAGAGGCTATGTCACGTTTCAGTCAAGGACACATGGATCCACTTTCGCACAGGATTTTTCTGAATCAATGGTGAAAATGGGTTACATTGGAGTCCTGACCGGCAAACAAGGCGAAATCAGGAAACATTGTGCTGTTATGAATTAAATCCATTTATAATTTGATTTTATCATTGCTGAATTGTTTGCAACAAGGTTGCATGCACGTACGTTGTGTTCTTTTATTTCCCCCACATTTGCCACTCAACTGGTTGCAGGATTTACTTCATAATCTTGAGATTGTAACCTTTATTTCACTTAGTGATTTATGTATAAGAATTCATTTCCGTCATAATATTTGAATATCTCTTTCTATTTCTTCCACTTTTCTGAATATATACGCCATGATGCATGTTTCTTGCTGCTCATGCTTGCTTGGTAGAAATCAAGAAGGATACTGCCAGTCAGATTACTTAAGCTGTGCCCATTGGCATTTAAGGGAGTTGTTGAATCTTTCTTTTAACCTCAAGAAGACATGAACAGATTGCAAACCAACTTGTAAGAGAATTTTATGTGCCAAGCCACAACAATGACCTCCATCTTGTTACAGCTGAAATGAAGCCTACTACGTTGTAATTTCTTTTTCTTTTAGGGTGACTAGTTATAAAACTGGTTTCCATATATTCTTAATTTACGATGAAAGAGATTCTGAATTGCAAATTAAATTATAAATTAGTTCATCTCATTTTAAGAAATGAATTAATTAATTCTTTTGGTTTCAAAAATAAATTATTTAATTTTTTAATCAATATTGATCACGAATAATTTATTTTTTTATTTTATAAAAGCTTTTTTTTTCATATTTTACTTTTTTTTTCTAAGATCATTTTTTTAATCTTCCAATTTATCATTTTCTTAATTCTATATGGTGGTCCTAAAAAATTAAAAAGAAATGAGGTCTCTAGTTACCACTTTTATGAATTATTGAAATTTATTTGCACATTTCTCTTTCCAATTCCTTATCTTAAAAACCATCTTTACCTCCCTTCGTTGTATTTATTTTTATTTTTCTCATTTCTTTTTTCACCCATATTAATCTATACAATTACCCGAGAACGAATAAGGATCATTAAAACAACCCAACATAGGATTTTATGGTCTCTTTATACAATACTAAAATCCTTGATTGGATGAGTTAATTTTCTTCAAAAAAATAAAACGTCTTTTTTTCATATTTTATTTATTTGTTTGTTTTTTTTCTATTTCTTAAAATAAAAATCGTAAAAAGGATAAAAATTAGTTTTCAAACCAAAAGGACTAATTAATTTATTTCTCAAAGAATTATTTTTTTTCTATTCCTTAAAAAAAATAGCCAAATAATAAAAAGGACAAAAAAATTAGTTTTCAAAGCAAATGAATTAATTAATTTATTTTTCAAAAGAAGAGGGACCAAGAAGCAACAAAGAAATGTATGAATAGGGAAATTGGGTGAGAAGCTAATTAAGTGAATAGTCTCACCTTCATTTCTTTTAGTTTTTTTTTTTAAAAAATAATAATAATACTCTATCTGTTAGTATTGGTATTGGGAAGCAATCCAAACATGAAAAAAAGTTTTAGCACTTCTAATGATTTTTTTTTTTTTTTTAACTATATGAATTGCCAAATATATTTAGTGAAAATTCTACTTTGTTAATAATTGATTTTGTTTGTTCATTTTTTTGGGACTTTGGCATTAGCTTGAAAGAGGCCTAAATATATAGATGAACTTTTTTTTTAAAATACTTTCGCATTAAAAATTATCTTTAAAATAAAAGATAGTTTAATTAGTTTTACACTTTTTTATATTACAAGTAAATTATTTCTTCTAAGAACATTTTCTTTGCTTTTTTTTTTATAATTAAGGATTTATATACCATTGCACCAATTCAATATAATATAATATTTATTCCTACTCTGAAGAAATTTTTATTAATTTATGTTATATATAAAAATATCATGTATTATATATATGAAGTTAATTACTAATATTGACTAATAGTCACTACATTTAATTAATATAAACATAAAAATATGATAGACAAATTTTAGAATATTAAAAATTGACTAATAAATTATAAATTGTGTATCAAAGAAAATAAGCAACCATGAATTAATTAATTATGAAAGAAAATCCATATTTTTAAAATAAAATCCATCTCAATTTAAGATTTGAATTTTAAAAAAAATGAATTCTTTTATTGAATTGTAAATAATTGATTAAGTTATCCCAATGAAATCTAATATGCTCTATCTTCTTTTTCTTAAAAGTTGTTTTAATTAATTTGTTCAACTTTTTTATATAATTAAGCGTTTGCTTATTTCTTTCCTTCATTTTATTTATATTTTTTAATAGATATTCGATCCTTTGCCTCCAAATATATCTTATACGAACTTTTATTTCTTTTAATTTTTTGATTAAGAGTTTATGTGTTTGTTGATTAATTTAACTAATTAATATTCATATATACAGATCATGTAAAGAATATATTATAGATAACACCCATAATCAATTAAATATTTAATCGATCCTATATATGCCAAAGGAGTTTTTTATTAATTTATTTTTTATTCGGAATTTATCATATACTATCTCCGCATAAGTTTCATAATGTTATTCAATTAGAATATTATACATATTTTTTTTCCTTGTAATATATATTTTAACTTTCTTAATTATAACAAAAATTGAAATCATTTATTGAGTTTTTGATGATATTTTAAGCCATAAAATATATAAAACAAATCACAATCTTAGGACTAAAACAATAACAAGAAAGCTATCTAAACAAATCTTTTTTTTTTTTTTGAATTATGAGTTTGTGATTAAAAAATTAACAAATTATCAGGACTAAATCACTTTTTACTAAAGCATTTTTTTTTTTTTTGGTTTAGGTGGATATTAACAATATAGTATGACTAGTATATGTAGCGTTGCTTAATCAATATTGAGTATTTTTTTTTCCAACGAGTATCTCAATCTTACGTTGGAGATATAACTAATTATGTTCGAAAAAGATAAAATTTAATTTCTTTTGATGAAAGTTATTTTAAAATTCAAACTTTATATATTGAGAAAAAATTCACTACGAAGACCGGTTCTCTTACCATCAAGCCAACAACTTGTTGATAGTATTGGTTTGTTTTAAAATGGCTATCATGGATACCTACAAATTCCCGAAATCGATGATTTTGCCAATTATAACTCAAAGTCAACAAGGTACAATGAAAATCAGAATTAGAGAAATTTTATAATATATCAAGAGTAACTAGTGTCATGTACAATAATTATTATATAGATCCACTTTGAAGAGAGAGATAGACACATCAAAAAAGATAAAAATTACATCTATACCCATTAAAAATGCTAAGAAGATTTTCACGTCCGCTCAAATTTTTTTATCTTCTCTCTTCGTTTCTCTCTCTCTTTTTGTATGTCTATCTTTCTCTTCAAAGTGAGCCCATAGAATAACTATTGTACATATCACTAATTACTCTTAGTGTATTATAAAATTTCTCTCCGAATCAAGTATAGCTATATCGAGTAGCAGAATACCGCGTATGCGCTGCAAGATTGAATCTTTAAACCTTGGATTAATTTCACATATTTAACAACTTCTTGTTATAATATCCTGAAAGGGCAGAATAACATCTAAATCTTGTTTCATTGTTTTTGGTGGGCTGGCCAATGGGAGAATGTTTAATGCAAGTAGAGATTTTTCAATCTGCGTACAAGTGTAAGCTAAAGATTCTTTGAGCTAACACTTTTTTAAGTCTTTCCATGGTCTGAGACCAACCCATCCTCCCATTACATGCATGTTTCCATTTTTGAAGTACTTGTAGTTGGACTATTCAATACGTTTAATGCAAGTTGGGCGAACGTGCAAGCATATTACAGAGAGCTTCCTCCTCACTTTGTCGTGAAGATTTCCTGTAGCAAAATCAAAAGGAAACCATTCAAAGAACTATCTCAATTAAGGTTTCGGAATTTAATTTATATTGTTCTTGAACGTATTTTCTCAAGTAGTGCAAGAAAGTGAAGGTGATGCAAGAAAGTGAAGATGATGAGATTCGAACTCGTAATTATTTGATCATTGAAACTTTAATATATCATGTCAAAAAATCATTTCAAGCTAAAAATTAAACTGTTAGATGAGATTTCAGAATATGATTTATATTATTGTCCAACACGAAGTAATAAAATTTAATTTTCCCTAATGTGCAAGCTGCAAAGTGATCAAGAGTGGTTTTGAGAAAACGCATATGCAAACTCTGGTTTGTTGAATTTATGCAGCATATTCTATAAAAATTGAGTTCATCAGCCATAAACAATTGCCAATCTTAAAGTTCTTTGCCTAAAATATTGCAAGTCAGCTCTTAAACTCTTGACCTAATCATATCGAGAATAACAATTCATGTTTAATCAAATGACAGTTTGTACAATGACACTGTCAAAGGCCTGACCTTAACTACAAAAAGGAAGCAGAATTATGTTCCAAATCATCTCAGCCTAAAGAACAACTTCGTAACTTCTCTTTACAGATAATGGCTATCCAAAAGCTTGTTTCAGTTCTCTTTCTTCAACTTACTCTAGCTTTTTTCCTATTAGGCCTTGCTAATGCAGGGGGTTGCACCTAGGATTCTACCGAAGAAGTTGTCCTGATGCAGAGCTTATTGTCCATAAGACCCTGTACCGATACATTTCTAGGGATCGAACCCTTGCTGCTCCTTTACTTAGAATGTTTTTCCATGATTGCTTCGTCAGGGTAAGCTCTTAAGCTACACTACTGTGCAATTTACACAGTTTTGAAACATAATATATATCGTAAGTCAGTTACTTTAAACATTATTACCTTGCTGCATAAGCAAACATAGAGCTAACAAATTATGTTTCAGGGATGTGATGGTTCCGTGCTCTTAAGTTCTTCAAAGAAGAATCAAGCTGAGAAAGACGCGATCCCGAACAAAAGCTTGAGAGGGTTCAACGTCATTGATGCTGTAAAATCTGCACTTGAAAAGAAGTGTCCTGGTGTGGTTTCGTGTTCTGATACCTTGGCCTTGGTGGCTCGTGACGCAGTCCTCATGGTATCAAATTTTCCAACACAAATTTTTTTCTCCATTAATAAACTGCAC